AAAAAAAAAAGCCACCCTACATTTTCCCTGGTTTTGATTTTAAGGATACCTAAACACATGAAATAATGGTGCCCTGGAGCAAAACTCTGCCAGCCTTGAAGTACGTCTCCATTCAATACAGGTTTTATGAACAATTCAATAGGGACACACTGAGCAAGGGTGACAGGCCCAACATGTACTGGGCCCATAAAGTATTTATAGAGCCAACACTCAGTAAAACTGCAAAGTATACCAGTCTGTCGTAGGCACTCAGCCCCTCTGTCCCCACCACACCCCCAGTGATCACCTTCTGCACACCTGGCTTCTGGGCTCATGTGCGTCTCCATTCTGCTCCTGTGTCAAGACTAAATACCCCGTGACCTCCCAAGGCTCACTACTTTCTATCCCCCCTCCATCCTGAAATATACCCGAGGACCAATCTCTTAGTGACTTCTAAATGTTGCATAATCCATGCCCAGTTGCCAGTGAGAGAAGACTAAAGGTGCCTCTCTTCCTCCTATTCTTCACCCTGTGGTTCTCCCCAGTGCCAGTTTAGCCAAGAAGGGACTTACCTCCATGACAGTGAGGAGAAAAGGGCTGGCAAGCTACTGAAGAGGAGTAGGAAGGGTTTGGAAGCATCTCTCAGACTCCGTAGGGAGGATGCTTACTGTTTGTCAGGTCCTGGAGATAAAGGACAAAAATGCCAGGCAGGTTGTTTTTGAATGTTTTGCTTTTCTACTTATAAACTGAACCAGATGGTGCTCCATGTTAGGGGCTCTGACAAAGCCATGAATAAAACATGAAGAGAAATACTATGCCCTGATTTCTAAAGTCCTGCTGTATCTTCATTTGATGAACATCTGGGAAAGCTCCTCTCAGAATTAAAGGCACCTGCCTGCACAGCATATGCTATCAGCATGTGCCCAGAGTTCTAGCACATGAGGCTGTGCACGTGTGCACACACGCATACAGACACCCAGATCGTGGGCTGCTGCCTCTTAACGGATTCATAAGAGCAGTGTGGGCTCCTCACAATCCAACAGGGGAAGCTGTTTATGAAAGTGCTTAGTGCTCCTATGCCAGGAGGAAACGTGCTGCATCCAAAATCAGAACAGTTTTTATACATTCAGAAAATAACTGAGGGGAAAAACAACAAAAAATTAACAAGCCTCAAATTAAGCCCTATTCCACAGAAATATCTGCCTTTTATATATTTTCAGCTAGTAGAATGAGAAATTCACCTTGACTCCATTGAACAACAACAAAAATGTGCGTAGCAATTTTAGGGGAAAACGGAAGCGAAAGGAAAAGGACCATCAGGACCCTGAAATGTAGATGTTATGCCGCCAGTGGAAGTCAGAACATTTCATGAAAAACTGATGGCAACTTACCAAGTTGGTAGGATGGAATTTATAATACGCTGCCCAAGGGGGCGCCCTTGACAGCAGCTGGCAGTGGTGTCCTAGTCAGGCTGTGGCAGCAAGCGGCTGGCCACCCTTCGTTCCTTCAGTCCACTGAGTGCCACATCTCAGCACTGCCAGCTACTCGGTATCCTCCCAATAAACTACCCTTCCTTTACGTTTAAGTAAAATAAAGTAAAATAGTCTTCTCTTTAGGTAAGGATTTATTATGTTGAATAACATGAGGAAACATTAAAACACTAAATATATAAGTTAAAGTAGAAGTACATGACAACAGGAAATGAAGAATGGATGAAATAAACACGCGTGATTTTGTAAAGGAGGGCATAGAAATACCGCCTCTCCTCCACCCCATAGGTAACTAAAAAGTAAAGAACAAAGTCCAAAAAAGCAAAAGGTAAAGAGATCTGGGACAATTGACAGTTTAAATTATGCAAATTTGCAAGGGAATCAACAACAACAACAACAACAACAACAACAACAGAAACGTAAGGCTGTGATGAAAATCAAACATAAATAGTCCTTTTTGGGAAGTGCACAAAAGATCTAATTTTATCAGCAACTTCTTTTAGAAACCCTATCTATCTTATGCACAGAAATCTATACCAGACTGACTTTATACGTAAAGACAATTTTAAAAGCCTTTTTAAAGCCAGGGGAAAAAGAAACTAGTATCACTTAATAAAGCACCTATCTCAAGTATTTTTGGCATTCCAACCCTACATTTACTTTATTAGTCAAAAATTTTTAAAGAACAGCCCTGGGTTTCTTTAAACTATAGAGCAACTAAGGTAAACTGAAGGCCCTCACTATGCTGTGCTGTTTGAGTGGGTTCCTTTCCACAGGCTGCACGTGACCTGGGATCACTTTCCAGCTGAGGGACTCCTGAGGAGGACGCTACTTCCTGACTAAAGAAAGAGTTGGCTGGACACAGACTGGTAAGTCTGACCTCAGTTCCTTCAGGGGCTCCCTCTTACCCCCCCCTTGTTATCATTCTTAATAAAGAGATTTCAATGTTTAAGTCAGAGTTTGCTATACTGCAATGTCTACGGACAAAGGGACCATTGCAGGCAGCACGGTTGTCAATCTGAAGTTTTATCTATGCAAAAAACTTTAGAAAGAAAAGAAAAAGGCATACAATGGAACAGAAAGGCCAATGAACCACTCTTCTCTGTTTGGCATCAGAGTTCTATAATTGACTGGGGGCTATAAATATTAGTTGCGTGATACAAACCGCTCTAATGACCTCAAAGTTCCTCTCCAAAATATATTAAAAAGTTCTAATGCTGTGCTTGTGTTTAGTGCCATAGGTCCATTTTCCTGTTTCAGTGGATGAAAAGTCATAAATATTTAGATTTAATACATCTAAATACCAACCATGAGTACCCGTATAGGTATTTCTCAAAAGTATCCACTAAGATTATAAACTTGTCACAGAATTCTGCAAATGGCTGTAAGAATGTTCAAACATTCTTAGGCAGATACCCAGAACAGAACATTAAAGCTACCATAAAATCATAATCTTCCTGCAAATAAAACAAATGCTTTTCATTCAGTTCCACCTGAAGGTTATTATCAAGGAGCCTGACTATAAATAACTATCCCTTACAAAAGACATGTTACAATGACTTTTACTTGAAATAATAATTTTCATGTAAAAATAATTGAGAAAGTAAGGAAAGTGTATGGGAGGGAATCTGTTGACAAGTAGCTCTCCATTTGTAAATTCTTTCAAATTAGGGTTTATGTAACCATTACTAGGAAGCATATTTACACAAGGTACCTTACATTCAAATCTATAAACTCTTTTATAGTCAAAATAAATCTTATAACATTAGCATTTTATACACTCAATACCAGAAAATATTCAGTGCACATTAAAGTGATCTTGGTCAAAAGCCACTTTATTTGCTACATCTTTAAATCTGTCTGCCCTCCTGTCCTTCATTTGAGCTACATGGCATTGTCACCCAACACTCACCCAAATCTTAATCTGATGGATCATTTCATTGTAGTATCGACAATCACATCCCTTCCTGTCATGAAAAATGCCATTTACAAACACTTTATAGTTTTGAGTGATTAAATTTCTTGTCAAACATTTTCAAAGACTTTCAGAAGAGAGGTCCGTTACAGAAGACAAAAACCATAGAATATAAAATACTGCCTCTAACATGGCCCTGCAGTTTGGGCATCCTAAGATGACTATATGTGAAGATGAAATGGATTTTGACCATGGACACTATTGGGAGAGATCAAATTTAGGAGAATATTTCTGAAATCTTGTCTGCAGATTCCATTCCTCTCAAGAAAAAGGAAAGAAAATGAGGAAATTCAGAAGTACTCTTCACATCAAAGCATTGGATTGATCCCATCAATTTCGGAGTTCACTAGAGTAGTCTTTCCCGGGGAAGTTTTCTTTTAGAATGACAGAGCTGCGTTGTAACAGCTATCCAACTTTGGTTTTAAAGAAGGGACTTTAACATAGATTTCTCACTTTTCTATGGATTAAAAAAAAAAAAAAAAAAAAAAGAGTTCAAAACATCAGATCTTTTCCCCTGCCAGCTGTTTGGGTAACTTCACAGTTGCCGCACACTTGGGGCTTTAGGTTTCTTCTAACCCTCTGTGGCCTGTTGAGGCTTCCCGCCCAGTTGGTAGAACCTCCATCACCTTGCTTCCACATCAGTGCGGAATGACCTGTTGGACTCACATCCTACTGATGATAAATATCCTTGATAAACAGTGTAAAAGTTGGTTTTATTAAAACAAGCTATTCATCTTACAGATAAAGGTAGCTAAAAAGTTTTGTCAAAGAACAAAAATTGAGGCCACAAAGGGTTAGAGTGTCGGCAAGTCGGAAGCTATCAATGTATCAGGGGCCCCGGTCTCACGTGTCTTTGGTACACTTGCTTAAGGTCAGCAGGACGTGCTGCTGAGGGGCTCACGGGCCTCCAGGGTGAGACTAGGCGTGCTCTGATACTGAAAGACAACAGTTGCCGAGGCAGACACTGGCTGGAGGACTTCCAGGGAGCAGCCATCAGCCTCAGAGTGAGTGCCTGGAGGCCAGAGACTGGCTACACTACTGAGCTCCTGCCCCAGCCAATGTGGAAGCCCCAGATTTGCTGGGCATTTTCTTCTCTGGTTCGATTAATCACTCAAGAAAACTGCCTCCAGGCTGTGCACAGCTTAAAGGGATATCACAGGTTTTGGAGGACAAATACCAATTACGGAGAGAGACACTTAGGGCACTGACCACTATATTTACAACATCATCTGTTTGTCATCTTTAAAGACCATTTGATGGATGATGACGATGTGCCTGTTACTGATTATTTTTAGGCATTTGGCAAAATACACTTGTGTGTAACAGTTGCTTTTTTTATTTTAAAAATGTTTACATATGTACAATTGTTCTTGTATGCTGATATAAATATGAAAAGTAAAAAAACAAAAATAAAGATACATGTTTCGAGTAAGCATATGGGATATTGGCCTCTCAAGCTTTAAAGTCCTGCAGAAAAATCCTATATGCCTTAGCCCTGCATGCTAGTTTCTATTATGAGATGTTGTTTCCTTAAATGTGGAAAGCAATAAACAGAAGCTTCATGCACATAGCATTACTGTCTACAATGAGGATGTGCTTCAGAATGTCAGTTCTGAATCCACTATTGTCCCTTAGGAAACTTGCTACATTTGGGTCATGAGTTAATTTTAGTGAGATTTCTACATGTATCTGTCATGCGGATTATCCATTAACATACCGGTACCTTTATTTTTCCATGTTATAGTGTAACATTTCAGTAGTTCTTTTCATGGTTCAGTTAAATCCTAAGCCAATGACAAAAAGAAAATGGTATCCAGACGTGAGACTCGGCTTCCTCTCCTCTGTGGCATCTCAGAGGGTCTGTATTGTCTGAAGAGCAGATAGATTTGCAGTGATTCCGTGAGGCTGGGTTTCTATAAAAGTTGAAGTAAACAGTTTTGATGTATCACATGTAAACAGTGGATCTTAAATGGATGTCTCCCATAGCTGCACAACAGAGAAAAGCAAAATTGCACATTATGAAAGCAGGAAAACAGGCATATTTTTTTTTAATGTTTATTTGAGAGGGAGAGAGAGAGAGCATGAGCAGAGGAGGAGCAGAGAGAGAGGGAGACACAGAATCAGAAGCAGGCTCCAGGCTCCACGCTGTCAGCACAGAGCCCTATGTGGGGCTCAAACCCATGAGCCATGAGATCATAATCTGAGCTGAAGTCAGATGCTTTACTGAGCCATCCAAGTGCACTGGAAACAGGCCTATTCTGAGCTATGAAGATGAAAAAGATGAAAAAGAGTTGGTGATTCCATCCATACTTATGTGGTTGTAGAAGCACACTCTTATGACATCTGATGAATGGATAAAATAAACGCTCTAATTTTTAGCTTTCTCCTTCCTCTAAACCTGTGTTTCAATCTTGTTAGCAATTGCCACCTTTTAATACCAAACCCATCACATCTTCATTTACTGTTACTCAAAAATTTGAATAGATTAAATATTATGTCTCGAATGAAATAAGATAATTTAAAATATTATTTTTTAAAATCATATATACACTCCTTTTCCCCAGGATTCTGATATGGCCTTCTAGAGTAGTGGTTCTCGACCCACCTGCACATTTCAGTGATCTGAGGAGGTTTTAAAAATCCTACTGCCCAGGCCACTCATCAGACCAACTAACTCAAAATCTCTCTGGGTCTCTGGGTGGGATTCAGGCATCAGCATAATCTAGAAGCCCTTCAAACAATTCCCATGTACAGCCAGTACTGAGAAGTACTGACCTCGGGAAAGTGTGATTCCATCAATACCACTACCACCCACTTAGAAATCACTGCTGTGGGCCTATGACCAGGCCATCTGTTCTCCAAATCCATCACTGTCTCCTAGAAAATCGTCCTTTCCCAGGAAACAAAGCACACATGGCATGATGTCAATTCCTTACTTCCCTTACCTCTTCCCCTCCTTACCTCTCCCACCAGTTCTGTACACTGTCCTGTTCATATCTAATTTCTACAGCATTCAGTAATTGCTTTAATGGACTATAAACAACCTTGGAATGATCAAATATGAATGCAGCTCAGCTCACCAGAGTGGCTACTTAAAAAAAAAAAGAAGAAGATGACGACAACGACGAAGAAGACCTGGCTGATAAAATATTGCTTCCAGGCAATATGATTTGGGTACACTTTTATAAACATGAACAAAGAAAGTCTAGAGACCAGTGTGACTTAAGTTATATCCAAATTAATCCAAATTCCATTTTTACTGAAATCTAGAGCATGTCATTGTATACCTAATGAGATTCTGGGACAGAAAAAGGAGAAACGGCTAAGTGACTATGTGGATGTTTCTACGTAGGTTCCCTATTTAATAGGTTCTCTTGAATCTTCGTGGAAATCTTGTTCTCAATAGTCACATTGGCTACTCCACAAAGACTATGGTAGAGCCGCCTGTGTTCTCCCCCTTTGGAGGACAAATCTCTCAACTCTAAGGATGTTTGTGTGTGTGAATGACCCCTGTTGGTGGAGAATAGTGAAAATGAATGGTTACACAGGACATTTGCCGGGTAAGAACATCTGGATTGACACTCAGATGATGGTATGGAGTGGTAAAGGGTTCAGGCTTCAGCTTCAGTGAGTCCAGTTTTCTCTCAAACGGTTAAGAAAATTAGTGACAGCTTGCAGAAAGGGGAACAGAGGGATGACACTGGTGGGACACTGGTGGAACCTGAAGATCACCATCATCCCAGTGAGGAAAAAGGAGCGAAGAATTTTGCAAGTCATCACTTTTAGGAACAGACATGACTGTGGCCGTTTCTAATTTCTAGATGACTATAATGGAGGGGTTGCTGGTAAAAAAAGATCTGCTTGTTTGATACTCCCCAGCCCTCCAAGGCAGCCCAAAGATGGGGGCTGCCTATTCTGCAGGATTCTGCTATGTGCTCATGTGGATGTTCATGGTGAATGGAGCCATGGGCCTTTGACACTGTCCCCGGGGTTACAGTCTTCACTGTCGCCCCATTCATCCCAGGGAAGAGGCCACGAGCCGGCCATGTCCTCTGGGGAGCTGTCATTTTCAGGGCTTTCCTGTGGGAACAATAACCTGCACCCTGGCATGACAACAGTGGAGAGAATATCCCCAAGTAGACAGAGCAAAACAGCAATGTAAACAATTTATCAGAGGTAAAAAGTAGGGTGTTATACTTTGACAATTCTCTGAGGAAGGATGACAGCCTTGGATTTCTTTACCACATACTCGTGTCATGAACAACTGGATGCCTATTAACGATTCTGTTTTTTACAGCCAGAAAGCTGAGGGCTGGGAATCGGAATTTTCTTCTTCCTTTCCATCTTTTACCATTACCCATATGAACACGGGAAGCTAACTTGTCACGTAATTCACAAAACACCACTGCTTGGTTTTAAAGTCTTTTTGATCATAGTAACCTAATCTGCTTTTAGTGAGTTTTCTTACTGACTGCGAGTGGATCGAGTTAAAATTTGAATGATTCATGTATACCTTGAACCCCATTACTTAAGCCATCAAAGAGGCTCTGAAATATCTTTCTACACCAAAAAACCTAGGAACCCGAGACCCAGTAGCAGATAAATCTGCCCGGGCTTTTAAAGCTCCATTTTTTTTTTTATTTTATTGCAAAATTATTTCTGAAAAGATCAACATTACACTGTAACTGACCACAACAGAACTTGGATACCAATAAAAGTAATTATTCTTTAGTGATATCTCTCATTTAAGCCTCTCTGAGGGCCAGTCTGCCTCTCTAAATTCGACTACCTCTCAAATTTCACATAATGGATGTATTCTGGGAATACTGTGAGGCTGAGCAGAATCATAATTACAGTTATAAAAGAGGACTCAGTATTTAAGGAACTTCTGGCACACCTGAAGCTAATAAAACACTACAGACAATACTAAATTATATTACTAGATTATAGTAATATATTACTTCATTTAAAAAATAAAGTAGAGTGCTCGCTTCAGCAGCACATATACTAAAATTGGAACGATACAGAGAAGATTAGCATGGCCCCTGCGCAAGGATGACACGCAAATTCGTGAGGCATTCCATATTTTTCTAGCAAATCGAATTCAACGGCATATAAAAAGAATTATTCACCATGATCAAGTGGGATTCATTCCTGGGATGCAGGGCTGGTTCAACATTCGCAAATCAATCAACGTGATACATCACATTAACAAAAAAAAAGAGAAAAACCATATGATCCTGTCAATCGATGCAGAAAAGGCCTTTGACAAAATCCAGCACTCTTTCTTAATAAAAACCCTTGAGAAAGTCGGGATAGAAGGAACATACTTAAAGATCATAAAAGCCATCTATGAAAAGCCCACAGCTAACATCATCCTCAACGGGGAAAAACTGAGAGCTTTTTCCCTGAGATCAGGAACACGACAGGGATGCCCACTCTCACCGCTGTTGTTTAACATAGTGCTGGAAGTTCTAGCATCAGCAATCAGACAACAAAAGGAAATCAAAGGCATCCAAATTGGCAAAGATGAAGTCAAGCTTTCGCTTTTTGCAGATGACATGATATTATACATGGAAAATCCGACAGACTCCACCAAAAGTCTGCTAGAACTGATACATGAATTCAGCAAAGTTGCAGGATACAAAATCAATGTACAGAAATCAGTTGCATTCTTAGACACTAACAATGAAGCAACAGAAAGACAAATAAAGAAACTGATCCCATTCACAATTGCACCAAGAAGCATAAAATACCTAGGAATAAATCTAACCAAAGATGTAAAGGATCTGTATGCTGAAAACTATAGAAAGCTTATGAAGGTAATCGAAGAAGATTTAAAGAAATGGAAAGACATTCCCGCTCATGGATTGGAAGAATAAATATTGTCAAAATGTCAATACTACCCAAAGCTATCTACACATTCAATGCAATCCCAATCAAAATTGCACCAGCATTCTTCTTGAAACTAGAACAAGCAATCCTAAAATTCATATGGAACCACAAAAGGCCCCGAATAGCCAAAGGAATTTTGAAGAAGAAGACCAAAGCAGGAGGCATCACAATCCCAGACTTTAGCCTCTACTACAAAGCTGTCATCATCAAGACAGCATGGTATTGGCACAAAAACAGACACATAGACCAATGGAATAGAATAGAAACCCCAGAACTAGACCCACAAACGTATGGCCAACTCATCTTTGACAAAGCAGGAAAGAACATCCAATGGAAAAAAGACAGTCTCTTTAACAAATGGTGCTGGGAGAACTGGACAGCAACATGCAGAAGGTTGAAACTAGACCACTTTCTCACACCATTCACAAAAATAAACTCAAAATGGATAAAGGACCTGAATGTGAGACAGGAAACCATCAAAACCTTAGAGGAGAAAGCAGGAAAAGACCTCTCTGACCTCAGCCGTAGCAATCTCTTACTCGACACATCCCCAAAGGCAAGGGAATTAAAAGCAAAAGTGAATTACTGGGACCTTATGAAGATTAAAAGCTTCTGCACAGCAAAGGAAACAACCAACAAAACTAAAAGGCAACCAACGGAATGGGAAAAGATATTTGCAAATGACATATCGGACAAAGGGCTAGTATCCAAAATCTATAAAGAGCTCACCAAACTCCACACCCGAAAAGCAAATAACCCAGTGAAGAAATGGGCAGAAAACATGAATAGACACTTCTCTAAAGAAGACATCCGGATGGCCAACAGGCACATGACAAGATGTTCAGCGTCGCTCCTTATCAGGGAAATACAAATCAAAACCACACTCAGGTATCACCTCACGCCAGTCAGAGTGGCCAAAATGAACAAATCAGGAGACTACAGATGCTGGAGAGGATGTGGAGAAACGGGAACCCTCTTGCACTGTTGGTGGGAATGCAAATTGGTGCAGCCGCTCTGGAAAGCAGTGTGGAGGTTCCTCAGAAAATTAAAAATAGACCTACCCTATGACCCAGCAGTAGCACTGCTAGGAATTTATCCAAGGGACACAGGAGTACTGATGCATAGGGGCACTTGTACCCCAATGTTCATAGCAGCACTCTCAACAATAGCCAAATTATGGAAAGAGCCTAAATGTCCATCAACTGATGAATGGATAAAGAAATTGTGGTTTATATACACAATGGAATACTACGTGGCAATGAGAAAAAATGAAATATGGCCTTTTGTAGCAACGTGGATGGAACTGGAGAGTGTGATGCTAAGTGAAATAAGCCATACAGAGAAAGACAGATACCATATGGTTTCACTCTTATGTGGATCCTGAGAAACTCAACAGGAACCCATGGGGGAGGGGAAGGAAAAAAAAAAAGAGGTTAGAGTGGGAGAGAGCCAAAGCATAAGAGACTGTTGAGAACTGAGAGCAAACTGAGGGTTGATGGGGGGTGGGAGGGAGGAGAGGGTGGGTGATGGGTATTGAGGAGGGCACCTTTTGGGATGAGCACTGGGTGTTGTATGGAAACCAATTTGACAATAAATTTCATATATAAAAAAAAATATATGAAAGGATGGAAGGAGTTATATAAGATGGATACGAGAAATAGCACAGATGTTATGAAGAGAGGAAAACAATAGACTTTAAGATAAGAATGTTATTTGAGACCAAAGGAATTTCATACAATGATCACAGGTTTAATTCACCAGGAAGATGTAGCAATTCTAACTTGTAGATAGAAGCAAATCTATCTAATAGATGAAGCAAAAATTTATTAAACCAAGTGGAATTTGAAGAACATGCTTAACCAATGTTATTTCATAATAGATCTTTTCCTGAAGCCAACAATCAAAGAATACAAATCCTTCTCAAATACTCATGAAATATGTATACCGTTTGTCTTAAAGAATGCTAGACCATTAAAAGATCTCAACAATTTTTAATAAATTGATATCATACAGATAAAAAAATAAATAAATAAAGTAGAAAGGAATTGGTTCTTCTATGTGAAGACCCAATGACAAATTAAAAAAAAAAAGTAAATAAATAAATAATAAATAAATAAAACTTATGGTTAACCATATTTTTATATAATCAGTTCTTATGTGTTTTTAAATATGGCTTTTTAGGGGTGCCTGGGTGGCTCAGTTGGTTAATTGCCTGACTTCAGCTCAGGTCATGATCTCCCCGTCCATGAGTTTGAGCCCTGAGTCAGGCTCTGTGCTGACAGCTCAGAGCCTGGAGCTGGCTTTGGATTCCGTTGCCTCTGTCTCTCTTTATCCCTCCCCCATTTGTGCGCGCGCTCTCTCTCTCTCTCTCTCTCTCTCTCAAAAATAAATAAACGTTAAAAAAGTAAAATAAATCTGGCTTTTTAAAATATAAGAGGTTGCTAAATTTTACCATACCCATTGCCGCATTTTTTTTAATATTAGAGATTTTCTTTTTTTTTAAATTTTTTTTAACGTTTTATTTATTTTTGAGACAGGGAGAGACAGAGCATGAACAGGGGAGGGTCAGAGAGAGGGAGACACAGAATCTGAAGCAGGCTCCAGGCTCTGAGCTGTCAGCACAGAGCCCGACGCAGGGCTCGAACTCACGGACCGCGAGATCATGACCTGAGCTGAAGTCGGCCGCTTAACTGACTGAGCCACCCAGGCGCCCCAATATTAGAGATTTTCATATGTATCCAAATTCCACCGTGCCTTTAAGCCACTGGTCTAACTTTCTGTCACAGGTTCTGATTTCTAAAGTCCTATTGGGTATTATTAGCCAGTAAAAGGCCTGAGTAAGCAAATTAGGCATGAAGATGAGGCTAGTTTATTTCATCTCTGGCATTTCCAGGTATATTAAAAAACTGATAAAAACAAAACACATTCTGTTTTGTTTATTCCAGGCTGTCATGTAGAAGCTACGAAGTATAATAAAAGATATAAATACATAGCAATGAATGATTAAAACATACCAAATATCACTAGAATTAATTCAGTAATTAAACTCATTTGCAAATATAAATCTGAGCCCCAAACCGCAAGAATCTTCTATTTTTCAATGGAATCTTGAAAATCTTCCCCCCCCACACATTTTTTTTTATAATGAAGGAAAAACAGCTCTCTCTTTTAAAGCATGAACTCATAGATAAACGATAATGACTGAGGCTATTAGTGTATATTCCACATACCCTGGCACTTTGTCGGTTCACTTTCTTCTCTTCATCAGGAAGTGGAGGCATTGGGTATGGGTATTTTCTGCTGGAGGCAATAGACCCAGTTGATGAAGAAGGAGACTTGGCAGGAGATAGAGTCCTGAGATGTTGAGAACACATGGAATAAATACTATGTGACTGCCTAACATCTCTTTCAAATATCTGAAAAGTAGGTTCAAAACAATCCCTCTGATTGCAATTTTCATAGGCCACTACTGCAAAGGCTTAACTACTGGGAGATTCTCTGTTCTTCACAACACTGGAATGCTGGAATTTTATTTTCCTAATGTCATAACTGCAATGGATTATTTAAATGTTAGCACACAGAATCAGACTCTTCAACTAGAAAAGCCAATCATGAAGTTTCCTATAGAATAGATAAAAAGCTAAAATGGAGAAGGGGCAAAATTATTCTAAGAGCTCATAATGGTAAATTAAATGTACAACATAGGAATATTCTGCCTTGTTTTTACCACTTAATGTAAAAAGTGTTTTAGTACAGTAATTCCAATTATATTTTTAAGTTCTGAAAATACAATACAGTTGATACATTTATTAGTTGCTAAGTCACACACCAGTTTACACATAACTCATGCATTCAGAGGCCAGTGTGTTAGTTGTGAAAGAACAAAGGCAAATAGAGGGGTTTTAATAATAAATTAGTAAACATGCAAGCAGTAAGGAGTGCAGAGTTCCAGCCAAACAACGAGTCTGATGAGAACATACAAAAATGGTCTGATCAGTCCCTACAATCAGCATTTCTGGACAGGGAGGGTTTTGTGCCACAGAAGTAGACCTTGCTAACTCATGTAGGGTGTACTTGTCATGCTAATAAGGTGGCTACACTTTAGTGACTGGAATTTTACTGAAATGAACACAAAACACAAATACCCTTCCTATTTAGATAACGTGTATTATCTCCATCATGAAGACATTCCGTATAAAGATACGCATGAGTTGTGATGTATTCTGCTCTTCTGTATTCTGCCTGTGCAGTGGTAATATGTGTGACTAGGCTGAGCTCACAGGAAGTGCCCACATCTGTTATCTTGTCTTCAAAGTAAAAAAACAAAAACAAAAACAAAAAAACAGCTAAGAGTTTGTTCACTTACACCGTATCAAAGGGAAACAGATGTGCTGATTCAGCAGTACCTATCCATTCACAAATGTTACCACTCCACATCTATGACTGCTCAGCTCCCAGTGCCTGGTGGCTGTGAGCCACACCGCTGAAGTGGTTACACAGCCACGTCAGAGCACAGGTATTATTGCTGCAGGAGGCACCTCACCTGCTGGGGGGGACTGACAGCCTGGGAGTGTCAGCAGCAGGGCGGTGCTGGGCAGGGGAAGATCCACTGCACTGCATGCAAAGGCATCAAGAGGGTTCTTCTTTCCCCCTTGTTGTAAATTTTGGTTCCCATCCATATATTACGCTTTGCTCTAGTTCTCCTGTAGTCTTCAAACCGGCTTCCATGTTATAGACACCAAATTCAAGCTGACGTTTGAAAATACTTTTTCCTACAAGTCCTGAGATTCAAGTGACCCTTCTTGCTCAATTGTAAGAATCAATACTGCTTTAACTTGCTTTTAATCTGTAACTCCTAACACTTCTTCTAGTTTTGGGAAATGTCCAGGACCAGTGTGAACTGGTCTAATGTTCTAGCAGTGTGAATAGTCACAATATCACAGATATTTGACTTCTCTTGTGCTGATGCTCCCCAGTACAGAGCAGATGGGTAAAACTAAGAATACAAGTACTTCAAATCCTTCGAAAGACTATTAAGGCAGTGTATTACTACTGCATTTTTTTTTCTAATGCAGAAATTAAGGATGTTTTTAATTTTAAGAAAACACTGCCATTAGGACTATGACCTTTAAGAAACATACTCAGTGTGTGTAGAATGAGGAGAAGTTTTTGTATTTAGATATTTAAATACATATTTCTAAAACAAGGGATGTTAACCTGGGTTCAGATTTTTAGCCTAATCACTACTGGTAAGAAACCCAAGTTCAGGAAAGCTAGTCAGGTACACAAAGAAATAAATCTTGTTTACTTTAGGGGAACATGCAAAATGAGTCCTCTTCTTAACTTGCTACAGTGTGGATGTGTCCATAGCATGAGCTGTTAGCTTATAGCTTCACAGTCATGCCAGTCATTCACTTGGCCATGAGTCCAAATGACCAGCTCTACACACATACCAGGCCATCCCAATGAGGGGTGCTGGAATATTTCCTCCAAATATTTTTCCATAGCCAAAGCCAATGGTGAGTGAAAACAAAACATAAGATATTCTCCAGATCCCCCAAGAGATTGCATGTATACTTCCTCTCACATGAATACGCCAGCTAGCTGACACTTTGGACTGACCCTGAGGGGAAGAAAAGCCAAGCAGGATGGTTTTAGTAGGGGCAAGGGGCATCATCATGTCCTGGAGGTTGGGTGGTGTGTGACAGCATATTATTTTGAGGGGTTATTCGGCACCAGAACAGGAGTCAGAATAAGAGCAGAGAACAAGGTGGGGTAAATCAGCTTAGGGAAATAAAAGCAAACTAAAATTTTGAAACAAATGTCTAAAGAGAGATTTCTGCCTCCACAGTCTTTTCTGACCCTGGCTACTTGCCTGGTAGTTCCAATCTGGCATTTACTGAAAACCAGGCACTGGCCCAGCTCATTCACTTAGAAAGTAATCTTTGAACAAATGTTAATGATTATCATTACAGCATTTTAAAAAACCATAATAACCTTAATGGGTGCCATTTAAGGCTAAACAATGAATGTGTGCTTGTGTGCCCATGGATTGTGGTCTATCTTGCAGCCACAGGAGACTTGCTGGGCTTGCCTTTTGTAGACATGTCTGTAAGGCCACGCTGAGCTCAGTTCTGCCCTCCAGGAATGGCTGAAACCACACCAGTCACGTATGAGGGACACGGGTCCCCCTTACTCACTTGTCTTTGTTCAGATGCAAATTTTATATAATCCAGAAGGATTTATAATGTGTCCTAGGATAGAATTTAAGTAGTCACTATACCCCCTGCTATTCTTAAGTAATTACAGAGAAGTGGAAAGGGAACAGATTTTGGAGTCACAGACAAGCTGATAATTCTGATTCTTATACTTAACTAGCTGTGCTACCCTGAGTTACTTGTTGTGTCTCAGTTTCCTCTATCCATAGAAAGGGAGTAAGAATGCCCAAATATCATGATGTGGTAAGAGATAAAGGTATATAGCAGGCACTCAATACAGGATAATTATTTCTGGTTTCTTTTCAGAGCTACTGCATTTTCCGTAAGATCATGGGACTCTGAGTAATCAAATGCATAATACTCCAGAGAAAAGATACCTGCTCAGAGCTTGGAAAGCACTGTCACCAACAGAACTGCCCCCAGGGTGTAGGTATGGGGAGATAATGCTCTTGTCCTGCTTGATGTGAGCATATGCTGGCAACCATTTGAGCAACCAGTGTCGGATACAGAACTGCGTAAGGGAGCACAGCTGAGGCACTAGCATCACTCAAAACTTTTTGGCATTTGCTTTTCTCTTCATAGTGATGAGGATGTAGTATTTTAAATGCTGGGCTATACTTTGGACCAGTTTGTAGCACTCACAAACTCCCCACTGCGTTTTTATTAAGGATGCCACAAAGCCCACACCAAATGGGTGATTAATAAAATGACCTTTGCCCCCATTGGTGTTTTGGCAGGAGAGGGAATCCCAAATAACCTGGTGACTGATGAAGCATATCTGAGCTTAAGCACAGGGCTGGCAAAGCATAAGCCAAAGTGCGAATGCACTTCGGCCCTCTATGTAAGGAGGACTGGCTTGGACGGAGGGTGGATGAAATTCTCTCTGTTGTGTTAGAATCACTGTGCTAAAAGCTCTGGGGCATCTTCAATTATTCACGACTTTCACAAAAATTGTGCATTGGTTTTCAGGTCCTACCAACATAATGCTTATTAATCCTAAAATGAGAGTTACATTATAAACCTCCACTGGATTTTATCTAGCCTTTAAATACAAATACGGACTTTAATAATTAATTCATAATGTTGCCATCCACCGTGGGAGGTGACACCTAATTCTAAAAGAGGAGATAAAGAAACCCTCTAAAATTGTCCTCGCAGCTTTGCACGTGCAACCAGGGGTGCTAAAGCATTTCCCCATCCAAATTGCGTTTAGTCATGCAGCTTCTGGGCAGACCTGGGTGCTGATTTTAAGAAATGTGAACTCTTCTCTGGGAGCCACATCAACTACTCAGCTGACCCAGGGGAGGTGAAACAACTCTTCCGGGGTACCATTTCACAAATTAGTGTTGCAAAGATGCTAGGTCCATTTAGGGATAAAAGTCCTAGCCCATATGCGACCAAAGTCATTCTGTTTGGGTTCCATGGCTGATACAAATTACAATCTGCCCACAAGCCTGAGGAAGATAGACAGGAGAAATAGGACTGCAGGTGAGCCAAGATTCCAAATAACATTCAAAATAATCTTACCTGTCTTCCTGACGCTGGCCATCTTGAGAGCTACAGGTGAGGGTGGGATGTTTGAATGTGAGTGTATGTGTATGAGGTTCAGTGTGAGAAAGTGGTAAAAGCAGAGGAACAGGGCAGAAGGGAAAGATGGGGTATAAAAGCAGGATATATTGTTGTGAGCAGGCAGGGTTATGCTTTCCTTGGGGCATATGCAAATGTATGGATCAAAATAAAATGCAAGTAGGTCTAATCATTTTCTCAAACTATACATGTCTAAACTAAATGGTACACTGGAAGAGAAAGTCCACCTTATATGGGTGCTGAGAGTTAAACACACGTACATATTTTGATATCTATTAAATGCTGACCCAAGTCATGGCAAAAAGTAATCTGAAAGCTAATTGTGTTCAGAAGAGGTCGTAATTGAGTCCATATTTCTTCTTTACATTAGTTCTTCACAAAGTAGTCAGATATAAACTGGACATTTACCTCTAGGAAATCACTTTGGTATTAGAAAGCTTGAAAAAATGCCATTAAGAGCTCTTGGAAATTCTCTCTGACCTCTGACGTTAGATTGAGCTACAGTGGATTGAGTAAATTCTAGAGTTTCTAAAATGTAGGGGTACTCTGCTCTTCTGTGAACCAAGAACATGTTTTCAGTCTGCTTCCTGCTCTGTCTGAAGTGTTATACAACAAGCATTCTACTAGCATAAAAAGTGCCTTGAATGTTTTGTTGCAAATCTGTAAAGTACTTCTCGGCACTGCCCTTGTCTGGGAGCAAACGGTTGTACTGAAAATGAAACGTAAATTCATCCAATCTACTCTCTTGTGGTCAAGATTCTCTGGATAATTTTAAGTTCCATTAAATCACTGGTTTTACTAGAAGTAAAATTCCACTACATTTCATTTAGTTTCTTTTCATGTTTTCCCTTAAGTTTTCTGATACGCACTATGCACTCTTAAGGCAGTAAGCAGGAAAAATGCACTATGAAACTGCTAAATTCTAGACATTAAATTGTTCAGGTTAATAGTGCTTCTTTATTAGTGGAAAGTATGTTTCATGCCCACAGAACACTACATAGCATAAAATGAAGATAAAGCTACTAAAAAAGCTCAAGATGGTGATGGGGACATGCACTAAACGGCAACCCTTTCAAATGGCTTCATTTGAAACATTCAGGAAAAAAAACCAAAAAACAAAAAACTAGACTTGCTCACGAAGCCAGAAACAGAGATCAAAAGGCAGCAAATAAACAAGGACCCTTTCCACCTATGGGAACTTGTATTGGGAGATACAAGATAGAGAGCCAGTCACACTACAGTATTTGTATGTGCTGGGAGAGTTTGAAAAGGATATAAAATTAATTTATAAAATACCTAAAGTATGGTCCTTCAGTGTTTTTATTCACATCTTCTACCCACTTAGCTACATTATAGTCTCTTTTGAACCATGGGTTTAAATACCTGCAGAAAGCAATGGAAGGAACAAAGAAAGCAGAACAAGATAGAAAATCTGAAAATACACAGCACAAGCTTAGCAAGGATGTTCTTCACCCTCCAAATGCAAGTGACTATGGCAAATAAACCAGGATGGATGTTGGGTGATTATGAGGCAGTCTGTACAATGACATGAGAATAAACTCAGCTACAACAAGGCTCGAGGCATTCTAGAATGTATTCAACATTGCAGGGAAAATCTTTCCAGTGGTTTCCCCAAGTGGATCAGAAGCGGCCTTCCAATCATAGTACTGTCAGTAATCTCATTCACCCACCTCCAAAGTGGCTTTTTCCAGGCCACCTCTCATTTGGTTCCTTGGTTTTCAAATGATAACGATGCTTTTTGAGAATATTCAGATGGCTGCAATTCCAACCTGGTGTTTGGGTATATAATGCCCCAAGAACAATTAAAAGGAGCAAAGTTCTCTTTCCAGTATGAAAAAAAGACTTTACAAGGCCTTGGTCTCAGGGTCTCACTCCAGACAGCAGATCCTAAGCTGGAGTTAACAAAGATAGGTGCCTCAGCCGGCTCTATCAAGAGCAGAAAGGGCCCCTGCTCTTCTGATCCTGGAACCCCAAAACACATTAAGTGTGGTCCAAACAGGCCTGCACGACCTTTAAGTTGGGCTCCGCAATTTTAGTTGTAGCTGCAAAACTCCTTCCTTTTCTTCATGCACTCCAGACTAAAGTGTTCATGTTTCCATTAGCAAATGGACCTCAGAAGTTGCCTTCTGAGTGTCTGATCATGAACTTGTGTGAGTGACTGCCAGAGGATACTAATGACCTTAATTAGCATTTCCATGATGGATCTGGCAAAATCTCCATCAGAATTACTGTGCAAAGGAAAATGTAAAAAGGTGGTAAAACTGGGAGTCCAAGTCTGTTTTTGTTTTTGGGGGGTTTCCCCCCGCCCCCCCCCCCACTAGAGTTTTCTTTGATTTTTACTCAGGGGCCAAGCAAAAACACATCCTCTTTAGAATGTGCCCTTGTAAAATAAATACAGATTCAACAAATTCAGTGTTGGAATCATCTGCAGGTTCTACTGAGTTTTCTCATTTAAAAAGTAACTCCTAGAGATACTACAGATAACGAAGATGCAAGCTCCATCAAATTTTGCAAGTCATTTGGAAACAAACCAAGGGAAAGGTAAAATACACTATTTGTTTGGGGTTAAACTTTGCTTCTTTCTACCATGTTTGGTTTCAGTTTGTAAATACACTGAAATCATGACATTTCCAGACATATAAACAAAAGTAGATTACTTTTTCCATAGTCCTTTCCTCATTTTTAGCTATAACCAATGAAGTTCCCTCCTAAGAGAAGGGTTTGGTTGCCTTTTATGGCTGTAAGACCATTTTTGCTAAGACAGTGTTCCCTGACTCAGGAACAATTTCACACTAGTTTTGCCTTTAGCCACAATCATTGCCAACTTGCACTTTTCACAGAGATAGCCAATTAAAACTTGCATAAAAATTTCCACCGAGACTTTGAACAAAAAGAAAATGTCAAAAAGCAAGTGCAGCCACAGATGAAGGCTAGTGAATGCTCTGGCCTGGGGAAAACCGTAGAAAAAGCCCATGCAGCTGTTATCAGGTGAAACATAGCCACACAGCAAACTGAGTCACCCACAGGCAGCTTCCAGGAGGAGACGTGTGTTCCTTTCACTGACAATCTTAGAAGCTCAAAGGACTGACGCCATGGCTGTTCCATGATACCTACAGCTACATGGCTTGGCTTGTACATGATGGACCTTTTCTTCCATTTCAAGGAGCATCTCAGAAGGCTGTGATCACTTCACTAGAGGTCACTGAAGAGACCTCTCAAAGGTTGTTCCTTTCTGGGGATCCGCCTGTTAAAGTGTCTTCAAAGTGGGCTTCCTAGCATCTCTAGGTAGCGGTGGTGGAAGTGATGAGAGTTTATCAAACCGCTATAAACCTGCCTATGTGGCTTGACTTGGCTTGTAGCGCAACATGCAAAAAAATGCGTTAGACAGGGTAGGAGAGCTCTTTGTGTTCTCCAGGATGGAAAGGCAGAGGAAAATTAGCTTGTGCTGGCTGGACCAGGACCATGTCCAAGCAGACACTGGGGGTCAGTCAGAGATCAAATGACCCCGTTCTCAGCCAAGGAAGGGACTAGGAGGGAGATTAAGTGGCAGCCCAGAATGAAGGGGCAGGTGGAGACTGACCTGTGATCCAGACTCCCTGTCTGGGGGCTGTCAGAGCCCCCTGGGCTTATGCCTTGGGATGGGACTGTCTGGGCGAGGGAGTGCCCAGGCTCAGGTGCTTGGGGCTCCCTCCTGTAAAAACACAATATATAATACAAAGTCTAAGCCAAAACCTTCTTTTCACAGCATGTACAACAGTGAGGAAGATGCAAAAACGTTGAGTGTCAAAACAATACAATAAACAAGGACATTTTATGTTGTTAATTAGTAGGGTATGCATTTGTGGTGAATGCTTTAATTCATGTCCTGATGTTTTATCATCCCTGGGGATGATGGGTACTAAAGGGGATGTGGAAATAATGAACCTGATGATACCTTTTAACGTAAAAAAATAAAAAAAGGTATGTTTGTCTGTGGTCATTCTACTCCTCTTATAGTCCCACAAATTATATTGTTGTATCAGAAGCAAGAGGGATTATTTAACGAATATGGAAAGGTATAAAAAATGACTGTCAATGTAATTCCTAAGATGCTACGTATTAGGATTCCTTTTAAGAAAAAACAAAATATGTATGTATATAGTGCCCATACAACAAGGTATGTGAGAATAGTGGTAAACTTCACAGGCTTGGTTCCATTTAATTAATATGAGTCATGTAACCCAAATGCAGAAAGTGAAAAATCTGAGGGAGTCATTACTACTTTTTCTTACAAAGGTGATTCCACTATGACGTCTTATTAAATATTACAGCGTTATCTCACAGGCAAGAGATTTATTAAGGGCTATCTAGTATTGTAATTTTTATCATATGATATGAGCGGGAATTCTACAGAAAATTTTTTCAAAATAAGTGACTGCACTAGCAAATATTGTATGAATCTTGCTAAACACCAAGTGCTGTTTGGGTCCTAAACACATAGCTTTACTATGAGGTTGATCTATTTCCACTCGGGAGTTTTCAAAGCCTTATTATAGGAAATATCATTAAAATGCTAACCAGCACACAAAGGAAGTTCTGAAGAACACTTGACAGTTTTATCTGTATTCTTGTGAGCAACTGAGATGAGCTAAGGAGCTCTTACCAGGTGACCTCATGCAAAACAAATCAAACAACATTCCAAGAAGAGTTTATCCACAATGAGCCCTAAAGCATCCAAGCGCTTTGGGAAATGTTTAAGATAAACTCTAACAGATTAGTTTTTTATGATGGAGTTCTATGATGCCATTCTGGACCATGCAATGGTATCACTTAAACCTATATTTTGTTTCTAAGGTAAAGTGTCCTCTAGCAAACTTTGACAAGCCACTTACAAGACAATACCATCAGCAGGAAGGTCCAAATTTCAGGGCACTGTTATTATTCCTGGACTGAAAAAGGCAGGGTATATGATGGAAAAGCTAACATAAGTTTCTGACAAGCAGTTAACAAATACCTGCTATTCAGATTTTTAAAGTATTAAGGCATGAAGAAGCAATAGTGATCCTGAAAACAATAACTAGCACTATAGTGAGAAATAAGTTAAAAAAAAAAAAAAAAACTTTAGGTAGGTCAAAAAAGTACGGTTAATGAAAACCTGGTGGCAAGGAAGTTCCAGAGGCATACCAAGGGTGTGTTTTATTCCTCGACGTCAGGTTTGAGGAAGCTTACTTTTGCTGTACTTTCTTAAGTGAAGAAACAAACAAAAACAGTGCATGGTGTTTACCTCATTAGAAGTAACTTTAAATGTAACTTGTGATCCCACCCCCCACTTAAAAAAAAAAAATGTGTGGCTATCATTTAAAACGGACAGTGTTGCACTTAGTGACAATGATTCCGTTAAAGAGCAAGTTTTGGGTAAGTGCCCTTTTAAATGTCCTCAGAAGGAAGATTTAAAAGGGAAGTGTATTCCATTAGTCTGAGAGAATGCTTAGATTGCAGCCATGAAGCCCTCGGAGCGGTGGTTTCACACTGGGAGCAGTATCATGCTCAAGGACGGTGGGAATTTCCCCCTGATGCTTCTAGGCTGTGTGAATACTGGGAAGAGGAAGGGTGACCCCTCTGGAATGGCTGGACCCCGGGTGATGAGAAGAAAGGAATGTTATCAAAATTCCCTTCAAAAGGAACCAAGACACCACAATGGCAGGTTACTGGAGGAAAAAGCCTGCAGCGAGGGTGGGAACCCCGCTAGCAGTGAATATTGGTTTGGGCACAGTTGCGGAGATGCCTATGTAAAAGAGAAAAGCCATGGTTAATTTTAAAACGGCAAAAAGGAATTAAAAAGACAAAACCAAGACCAGAGGCATGGTTTACAGTTCTTTGATGATCTCGTTAATTAACTTTTCACACTAATTGCATAGGACCTTGGAATGCCTTTTTCCATTAGAGGTGTAGACTTACTCAGTTGAATTAGACCGAGGTCTAAATCTTTTGCCTCTGATTTTCTTTCTGTTGCCTCCCACGTTACCTGAAAAAGATGGTTTATGGCTAGATTCGCATATAAATGAACAACTGCAATATGTTTAATCACACAGTATTTCAAGTGGTAATATTCCCAGCCAGTCCCACCCAGAACACAGGGCTGTATAGCACATACAGCCTTCTGAGTTTGTCCAGAGCCCTGGTACTAGTGAATCCCATCATTTCTCAACCAAGAAAAAAAGACATGGACTTTCATAACAAATGCCCTCATCTCTGTTGGGAGAAGAGCTAAAGAGCTTACAGGAAAGAACAAATCTTTACAACCAAGAACCACAAAATGTAAAATTTGGGTTCTGCAAACAGACACACTAGCTGTTCAAAATGCCGCCCTCTACCTTGCCAAGAGTTACTTCGAGGTCGTCCATTTTCACAGATGTCTGAAATGTGTTTTGTGTCTGGGATCCTTTCACTCCAAGAATGAGAAAGCCCATTAGACCTGAAATTGAAAATGTATATATACTGTTCAAAAATACAATCAAGTGAATGCTTTAAAATCAGTATGCAAAATCTCTAAGCACTACTGTGCATTAAATAAATCAAGAAAGAAAAAAATCTGAAATGAAAGAATGAAGAGAACATGAAAGTCTTCATGAAGAAGGCAGAATTACACAACATTCAATGTAAGAAAAGTCAAATACAATGGAACCCCATTACAATAGTTTATAGTTGAAAAGTATCAGCACACAGTGCAAGCCAATCACATTGACAGCAACCACATATAGCAAATTCACTACATATTTCAGCTATATAACTGGAGCAGAAGAGTTATAATGGGGTCCCACTATAGATGTTTCTTAACTGTAAAGCAATGGTTTTCATTCAAATATTATGAGAACATGGACTTCCAAGAGATTTCACTAAGATCTGTTCAACTGAACCTAGTCAACCTTTACCAAAGTAACATTCAGGTTTTTTTAAACAATAAAACTATTTTCTGAGAATTGGCATTTTCCCCACAAATACGGCCACCTCAAAATGTAGTGTTGTTAGTTAACTGTCCAATAACTGAACTAAATCACATGTTTATGCTGGAAGTATCTCTCACAAAGCCCATGTACCATGATGCCCTTGTGCTATCTGTGTCCTGCCATCTTAAATAAACTGTCTACAGAAGCAAAATTCATACACCTACCACATAAGAAAAGTATTTTGACAAACTATATATACTTAGGAAGAGTTACATAATTTGATACCATTTTTAAATGCTTAAAAGCCATAACCCATTTTTCTAAAATGTGGGAATTATTCAAGTCAATATTTTAAGTTCTTCTTGAGACATATTAGAAAATAGCACTATGCTTAAAATATTTTCCATACGTCATTCCAGTTAATCACTAATAAACGTCTATTTTAAAAGGAATCTTCTACAGATGAATGAAAATAAATGGAACTCAGCACAATTATTACATATTAATTCCCCAAATTAGGATTTTTGCAATATAAATTTGCTAATTATAGAATGAATCTTATTTTGTACAGAAGGACAACAGAAATTCCACTGGAATACATTGATTTCTCTGCTTATTTACCATCTTATTTAATTTAAAATTAAATATGTGACCAAGAAAATATATACAGGCAGAATTTAGATCTTATTCTCTGAGCCAAAAAAATTCCCAATATGTTAAAAAAAATAAAAATTTGGGGCATCTTATAGATTTGTACTCCTTTTGCAAAAACTAGCATTTTTACTTTTGCTCTAAGCTATGTTATCTGAGTAAAAACAATCCTTCATGCTTAAGATAGTTCTACATAAAGAAGAGTTCCCAGATTTACTGATTCTTTCTTTTCTCCTTTGTGATTGTTTACTGAGTGAAATCCATTGCAGAATTTTTACAGATGATTCACTTATTTAGAATTCCAGAAGAGATCACATTTCTTCTAAACAAACTAGAAATTTCCACTTCAGTCTACAAAGTAAGTACTGTGCCCAAAGTAATGTACTGGGCTATCAAAATTTTTTTTTCTATATATTACACCAACAATATTAAAGAAACTTTTCCACAGGAGTATTTTAGCTTTCTTGAATGTGAACGGAGGTCTAATTTCCTAAAACATTCCAACTATTTATTTCTTCTACCAGTTTATTTTATTAAGCAATTATAAAGCATGCAGAATTTTAACTGGTCTTATACATCTTAAGATCCTGGATAAAGAATATAAGATCGAAGTTTAAAACATATAAATAATATATTAACCCCATTTGTCCTATTATAAAACTCAGGCAAATATATTTAAATATACTTAAATTAATTTGACAACCAAGCTCTAAATTAGAAAGTCTAGAAATAATCATTCCAGGAATAAAAGGCAAAATCATAATATTCAAATATACAATTCACAGAAAAGCGATCTTTTTTTTTTTTTTTTTTTCACAGCAAGCTTAGCTTTGGTATATTTAAAATTTTTAAATATTCAACGCAGCACTTATATTACCAACTTAACAACTGCTTTACGGAAGCATGACAGTAACCTTTTTCTTTGACTACCAAACATGACATAAAGCTCACCATTTAAAATATTATCACATACTATGAATAGTTTCTCAAGCCATATAAGAGCAAGATTGAAAAACCCTATGATTTCTATATAGATTTAGGATTGCTGTTCATTTAGTTCAGTTTTGTTTTGATTTCTGGCCTGATTTGTTTGAGTGGTTCTGAGCATATGGCATTTTGAAGCACAGTAATCAAAGAACAAAGGATACTATTTGTTAACATTCAAGAAAGAAGGAAGAAGTAATCAAACCTGCTGCAAAATAATGAAATGTTCTGACTAATGGAATAATGTGTGATGGAACAGGCAGAAATCTGAAAATGCGACAGAAAAGCAGACCTCTTCTTAGAACTAGATGCTGAGTTTGTGCTGATTCCGGGAGGAATGTCGCTATAAAAAGAGTCACCATCTCCAGGCTTTTTTACATAATCTCCCTGGGGTAACTGTCTAAGGCATAATAAACATTTCAGAGTCAGAAAACAAGACACACACATGAACACAGACATATACAAATATTATTTTAGGAAAAAAAGAGGTAGGGGTAATGATCTACATGAACCAAATCTATAACAACACATAAGATTATTAATAAATGTGACAAGTTTAAGTAAGTCATTCTAAACTGCCAAGGTCAGAAATGCAATCGCTTAAGTCTTTACAGTCTGGATGAATAAAGCCTTGCTTCAGGGGAAAACTATGGAAAGATGAGGTTTTTCATTGTAACTTTATTATACTTCAAGATGTTAACTGCGGTTTTGTCTGAAAATAAATAAATAAATAAATAAATAAATAAATAAATAAATGGTGCTGAAGGAGACATGTCGGGAAAGACAGTCCCTGCCCCTCATAAGCATAGTTTTGTTTTTCTTTTGTTTACTGTCATGAATAAACTACTTATGATTTCTAAATGTGATATAATGTAACCTTAACTGGTCTTCAAATAACAGATTAATTTCTAAGCCATGTCTATAATTTAATCCAAGTAAATTCTTATTAATCTGTTCAATTTGGAGTTTCACTGTTCATTTAAGAGGAATATGAAGAAACTGAAAGAGATTCAAACATCAATCAACAATGTAATTCTATAACTGCACAGGAGAATATGTGAAGGAAGATGATTTAGCAAGAGGAAGAAGGGGTTGAAAACAATTCTTGTTGAGACTATAGGAAGATATTTATAGGGAGTTGGTGGGTGACCTCAGTTCTCTGTCTCCACCATAGAAGGATTACAACAAAGGAAGATCTACTTACTCTGTACTATTACTGACCCCACTTGCTCTGATTTTGAATTAACTACGATTAAAACAGATTTTTATTACTTTTCCTAAGGGAGGAGGGTAGAAAACTATAGAACGGACCACTCAATCTCAATAACCAATCATCGGCCAGTGCATGGACCGCAAACAGCCATGTGCATCCAAAACTTGATTCAGTTCCATTCAGAATCATTGTGGGAGGTGCCACAAACTGGTGCTGGATTGAGAATTTTAAAAAGAATATACTTAAAAAGGTGTCCAACGAAGGCCACAGTTGCTAACTGCTTTTCCTACTTGGTCTTTCCTTAGTTACCATGCTTACCTTGGTTACTTGCTGATGCTAAATTCTATTTTATTTTTTATTTTTTCTATTTAAAAAAAAATTTTTTTAATGTTTTTTTATTTTTGACAGAGAGACAGAGCATGAGCGGGGGAGGGGCAGAGAGAGAGGGAGACACAGAATCCGAAGCAGGCTGCAGACTCAGCTGTCAGCACAGAGCCCGACGCGGGGCTTGAACTCACAGACCGCAAGATCATGCCCTGAGCCGACGTCGGATGCTCAACCGACTGAGCCACCCGCCCAGGCACCCCTAAATTCTATTTTTAAAAAATGCTACTTTCAGATATTTGCCTTGCTTGTACGAATTCCCATTCTGTTTAAAATGTTTACAATACTGGATCATTCGCTCTTCGGAATGACTGAATACTTCTCTCATATTTTTTCAATCCTATATACTCACACACCTCCATAAATTAAATTTTCAACCCATACAAAGCACATATAATAATTTATGTGATCCTCCCCTTCAAAGAAAGTCAAATTTCTCATTAAATTTGTATGTAAGACTAATTTTACCTATAACTCTATGACACATATTCCTTCAAAATATTTTTAACCCCTTACGTGACTTCAGCTCATAATTATAACCTTTTTTCTTTTTCCCAGTATATTACGAAACATTAATTTTTTATAAGAAATAAGACAATTTCCCCATATTCATAGTGTTAATAAGACAGGGGTGGCTGGGTGGCTCAGCCACTTAAGCATCCAACTTTGGCTCAGGTCATGATCTTATGTTGGGCTTTGTGCTGACAACTCAGAGCCTGGAACCTTCTTGTGAGTTCAAGCTTTGCATCAAGACCTGTGTTGACAGCTCAAAGCCTGGAGCCTGCTTTGGATTCTGTGTCTCCCTCTCTCTGCCCTTCCCCTACTCATGTGCACTCTCTCTCTCTCTCTCTCTCTCTCTCCCAAAAATAAACATTAAAAAATTATAAAAATATAGTAATACAGGACAAATGATATATATTCTTATTCAAGAGATCTTTAATTTCTGGAATCACATTTTCTGCCTTGCCTCCTTTGAGTAAAATATTCTATCAATGCTCAAAAAAAATGATCTCAATAAAAGCAGAGCTCTGTATGTCGTCTCAGGGAGGAAACTTTCCTTTTGGATATTAATATTATAAAAGAATGCCAAGGAACATCCATCAATATCACATTTCCAATAATAATCCTTATGGTTAAATCCTTTTCATCATTATTACCTTTAATGATCATCTGTATAAGTTGATGAGATGTAACTCACTACAAATTAAAAAAAGACAAGTTCCAAATCCACTTGAATTTTCCAATTAATCTATCCCCTAAATTACCTTCTCTTTACATGGTTCTAGCATTTGTGCATTTACCCAGGGCTCACTTAGCTGATCATTCAGGCTTAAATGGACTGTCTCTCATGATGGATGGGCTTAGATTTGTTGTTGGTTTGTTGTTGTTGTTGTTTTAACTCTGCACATTTTACCACTCCTTCAACATAATTCCTCTGCAGTGCATGGTCATCTATCACACAACGCACAAAACTCCTAAATGCCAAATATATCATAAACTGTGGGCTTCAGTCAAGGGACTGGAAGGAAGTTCAAGTACAATGAACTTCTGGGGGCATGGCCTTGTTTTTATCGTGATGGGCAGATTAGATTCTTACCTACCTCTATTAGGAAGACTCCAAAATATAGACGCTACCCTGCATTCTCCTTACAATTCCATAAGGAATGCATGTAACTTTCTTCACATATTAAATGAATGAAAATGTTAATTATAAATTAAGAATTTTGTTAAATCTCTTAAGAATAATATTTAACATTCTTCATTGCCCAGAAATTTATCCTTCATCAATATCCATAACAGATTATAACAAACTGATTTCTTCTTGCTTAAACTTTAGTGAAGATAGAGAGTATCAGGTCCCCATGATCAATGAAATAATATTTCATCATTTGTTACATAAGATCATAAGTGACCAGCTAAGTGATTCTTTAAAAAATTTTAACTGAATTTATTTTTCTAGTATTTGTGACTTTCTTCTTAAATTTTGCTCATTTCATGGAATTTTGAATCAAGAAGTGATTACTACATTAGGTGGCCTGACCAGTGCCAAGTTTTGTAATGGGAACATTATCTCATGTTTCCCACATTACATGCAAATATTGTAGACTTGCGCATGAATTTTTATAAATAATGCCCAAAAGAAAATAAAAGTTTATTTAACTAAATTCTTTTTCCTCAAGAAGGAACCCTCTTATGAGGGAAATCTGGTATTTCTTTAAAGGGTCCATTGAACCATAATATTTAATTTAATAATCCTTACACAGACTCAAAATGAGAATACAATGAGAAAAAATAAGTCTTAACCTTCATGCTGAAGGAGGCATTTCTCCAGTGTTTTGTTGGTACCTGGGTTGTCTGATATTGGAATTGTTACTTTACTGTTTTAAGAAATATTGTGTAATGTGTACCAAGTCACACTGACAGATGCATGAATGTTACCGAAATAATAATAATAATAATAATAATAATAGTAATAATAATAATGTAAAAACAAATTAAGATAGGTTTGAAAAAAATGAGGGAGGGTGGTTCACAAGCAGAAAATAAACTGGTTAAAAAGGATGAGAGAGGAAAGAAGTGGGGAAAGGGGTTTCTGCTTAAGGAATAGATCAGGAAGATATGATCTAGTTATTTATTCTATTTCACATTAATTATAATGATGTGTGTTCATTTCAGACAAAGGAAGAAAATATTTCAGCTCACTATGGATGTCTCATAAATCCAAGTTCAGATTAATGTTTTCTTATTCTATTGCTCTTTGCAAACCTATCTGAAAACTAAAGCTCAAACTTGTAATTCTTGTTACAAAGTATACAGATGCTGGGGGCACCTAGTTGGCTCAGTTAGTGAAGCTTGAGACTCTTGATCTCGGGGTTATGAGTTCGAGCCCCCTGCTGGGTGTAGAGATTGCTTAAAAATAAAACCTAAAAAAAAAAAAAGAAAAGTATACAGCGGCTAAATCCTAAAGCAATTATGCTAAAAATGTAAGTGATAGCATCAACTGAAAATATTATGGAAGTCTTCTTCCCTGAAGATTTTAAAGAAAAAGATCAATAGCCATCTATCCAACCACATGATGTGTAAGAACTCTCGGTGGCTCCTAGGTTACATGGTTCTACCCTTCACAAGGTAACATTAGCAGATTTAAACTAATATCATTCATGTATTGGGTTCTGCCTCTACTGTTTCCCAGAATAGGGTTCTATTTTTTATTAAGCAGTTTGTAAACAAAAAGAAAACAATGGGTTTGCTTCATATCTTTTTGCCAGACCTGCTATTAAACCTATCATGCCAAGTTATCAAGCTCCTTCACAGAAGTACTTGCCTGACCTCTCCAAAAATTTGAAAGTTATGCCCAATTTCTAAGCCATTATATCATTAGTAAGAATCTGATAACTAGCTACATATTTAATATGGTCTTGCATTTAGTGTCAAAGCAAACCTTTATGTTCGCGAATACCTATACCAGGTCAACCAGTATGTGTGGGTCTCATTCATATCCATGAATGCTGCCTTTCTCTTTGAGAATAACCACATCCACCTCCTTTATTTGAAGATCAGAAAAACACAAAGCCTTCAGAGACCACATACTAATAACTTTCCTTGCGATAATGCTTTATAGATTACAAAGAACTTTATCTGGTTTTAAAGTTGTGGAAAGTTTAAGTGATTTCCCAAGACCACATCCTAGCAAGTGGATTTCTGATTTCTTGCCAATTGGTCCACTCACCATGGAACCTCAGAGGAAAACCTACCTTAAAGGCAAGGATGACTCAAAATTCTTATTCCTATTTCCTGGCATCTTTTAGAACTGGACACATCTTTATTTGAATCCCTGACAATATTTTTATGAGACTATAAATTTCTTAATGCATGCTTTGTTCCATTCACCTTACCACCTGCTCTGTAACCATTGACAAATATTCTCAAAAAGGAAAGTCCTTCAGAAGATATTTATACATTTACGACTTGCTGATCTAAAGTCCACTGTTTGCTACTTCTCCACTTTGAGGATTATTATACAAGGCCTAAGATTCATTAGCAATGGACAGGGCAAAAATAAATAAATAAAGTTTGTGATGAAACATATCAAAATACATAAAATAAATATCTGTTGAAGATGTGACAGCTCTCAAAATAATGAACTGGATTCCAAAAAAGTAACCAGATCGACAAAATGATGACTCAGTAATACCAGGAGGCATGAAATTTTATCAGACACATAACGAAAATTCTTAATGTAAAAATGTTAACTGTGCCTAAGCATATATTGAGATAGAATAAGAAACTGGTACACAGTTTTGCCTATGAATAATTTTTTGTACCGTGGGCAATCCCTAATTCTGGATAATACTCTTGGTGAGAATGTGTCTTGGAGCACTGGTTTAGGTTTGCTTATGTTACACGGTAGTGACATTTTACTTTCTATCTTATATAGCTAGCAATATTAAATTACTTTAGAGTCTTAGCTACTATGGAAATGAGGCTGGGTCATCAATATTTGATCTTATTAGTCTAATTTTATGTTTCATTAGAGAAATCCACCAAACTTCTATTTCAATGTGACTGATCAAATTCTACCCAATAGAAAGCTTAAATGATTCCAGCTCTTCTCCTGTAGTTCCAGACAGTAGAATTTTAAACATATCAAAACAAAATCTAGTTTTTAAAACTTAATTAATTTTGTCTAGGTTTACCTTTTACATTAATGATGAGTTAGCTTCCCAGAGCAAGGTGAATATTTTCTATTATCACTAACTGACCAAGATCTGCCTTGTGAGCACATTTATAGAGACTATACTAATGGCTAAAGTCTTCTAGGAATTTTAAATTATAACATGGAAGGAAACCAAATGAAAAAATGAAATCTGGTTGGGGAGTGAAAACGTGTTATCACGTTTATTACTTCTTATTTCCAATCTGCCTCTGACATTTAATGGAACAGTGGGGAGAGTTATGTAGGAACCTGCATAGATATCTTAAGCACAAAACTAGTACTATGTGATGTGCAAGACCTGGTCTGGCTCATCTATTTCCAGGATATTTAAATGTTTTTATTGGGGCGCCTGGGTGGCTCAGTAAGTTAAGCGTCCAACTTCAGCTTAGGTCACTATCTCGTGGTCAGGGGATTTGAGCCTCGCTTCCAGCTCTGTGCTGACAGCTCAGAGCCTGGAGCCTTCTTTGGATTCTGTGTCTCCCTCTGTCTCTGCCCCTCCCCTGCTTGCGCTCTGTTTCTCTCTCTCTCTCTCAAAAATAAATAAACATTAAAAATTTTTATAAATAAATAAATAATTTTTTGTATCAACAGCTAAGAACATTAATAATTTTTTAAATGTGAAAAGTGAAGGAGATATCTCAGTATGGACTAATTTAGATTTAGAAAAAATAGGCATTTTTTTAAAACTACATGAATGCTTTGTATCTCTTTTTATTCTGTTAGCTAAACACAGATTTTAAGGTTATGATGAATAGGGGTACCTGACTTTATGGGCTTTTATATTTATAAAAAAAGTATACTAGACAATCTGAGATTCTAATAATGCAAATCATTTCTTTACCTAGGAAATTACCTAGTCAGTACAAAAATATTTTCTTAGGCAGAGATAATCAGGCCCATTAAGTACTAGGACATTCTCCTGAACCCAACACTGTGCCCACAGAAATGTTATCATTTATGAATGGAAGTTACTAATATAACAACAGTAACAAATAACAAATAAATTCCTTTATAAAGTACTAGGCAATAAGCTTGTTTAAAAGATGAAGAAAAGCCAATTAATTAATGTAAACACAAGTGGTTCCTTAACATAGAGGAAGTTTGTTTTAGATGGAAAAAAAATTCAATTCCACATATATTACTATAAAGGTAATAGAAGTAACTGCTATTACTGTAGTATTGTTGGATGAAAGAACCATTAAAATTAAACAATAGGTCTATTTTAAAGTAATACATTCCTCAGCACCATTATTAAAATTATCATTTCAAGGTCATGAAAAACAAGATTGCTTTATCATTTCAACACAAAAACAAAGTCAACCTGATTTATAACTGCATGTATAAATTCCAAGGATGATAACAGGATTTAAGCTTTTCAGTTATATGTTCAGGTTATTCTCATCACATACCTCTGTTCTCGATAATTTCTTTTCATGGACAAGAAGAAAAGGGGGGGGAAAAAAGAATTAGTTACCTATGGAAGTACTTTCAGAGAGAGCACTAAACATAAAAGCTCTAACACTCATCGAAAGGTCTCTACAAAGGATTTTTGAATTGCAGAACTAAAATGAGTAATACAGTCTCTCTCTTTACACACACACACACACACACACACACACACACACACACACACTCCTCACTTCATCTTCAGAAATGATACCAATGGATTAGTGACAATATTTTCAAATAACTATTTTTAAAAGCATAAATAAGCTTCAGTTATTAGAAAAATAACTGTCTTCTCAATATCAATTATACCATATTTAACATTTAGTAATGCTCTAAAGTCAATCTTACTCAACTTACTTATATAAACTAACTGTGCTTCCATAGAAATAAAACTCATAATTCATTCCTTTTGGAATCTATACCTGCAAACTAAAGCTCTTCCTAAGAATTTCAATCCAATCCAATACATATCTATCTAATCCAATACATATATTGGCTTTTTAAAAAAAATTTTTTAATGTTTACTTATTTTTTGGAAGCAGAGAGAGACAGAGCATGAGTGGGAGAGGAACAGAGAGAGAGGGAGACACAGAATCCAAAGCAGGCTCCAGATTCTGAGCTGTCAGCACAGAGACCAATGCGGGGCTCGAACTCATGAACCATGAGATCATGACCTGAACTAAAGTCAGATGCTTAGATGACTGAGCCACCTAGGCACCCCAAGTATCTTGGTTTAATGATGAGCTCATGAGAGTAAAAGTTCCAATTTGTTACTTATGATTTTTCATTCTTCAAACCACTGGATAGTGGGGGAGAGAATAAGCTCCAGAATTTTTCTATTCAGTATGTTTTAATTTTATTGCCTCAGTGTGATGACGTGAGTGGTCTATCAGTTCCAAGTGAGTATTGCTCATTGCCTATTCCTGTCATTCCTTCACTCCAAGGCTTGGAGAAGGGGTAGAAATTTTAATTGGAAGGATTAATGAGGAAATGAATTCTCACGTCCTACATCCATCTTTGAGTTTCAAATAGAATATGAAATTCATGAATTTAATTCCTGTATTAAAACTTAGACATTCTCTTTCTATTCTTAAACATATTCTGAATAAGTTTAGTAGCATTAAAACTTCCATCATTTATGTTCAAACTATTTATGAAGAGGACACAGTTGTATGAATAAGATTGGTATTTTTCCTTAGTGAATATGCAAAGTACAAATATTCAGAAATGGAAAAAAACAGTGAAATCTCAAAAGAATTTCATAAAAATAAGAAGTGATATAAAGAAATAAGTATTTTAATTCTAATTATTAAAGCAAAGGTAATTTCATTAGCAATAGAAGTTTAGATTTCATATTTTCTGAAAAGTAATTTTTTTCCAAGATTGCAAAAACATGAAATACCAATTTGCATCAGTAGGTGGCAGAAAATTGCACACAATAGAACTAATAATTTTGCTTTCCCCTTTTCACATGACCAATGAAACCCCTGAGCTACTTCAAGAATGCAAAGCTTCTGATGACAATTGCCACATAGGTCTTAAATCAGGGAAGTTGAGGAAACAGTGTTACTCCAAGATGGGGCTGATTCACTTGAGGTGTGAGGCAAGATCAAACAACAAATACACAGAAAAGCCTTCCTTTCAAACAAGGGATTTTACAACTTCTAATGTTATGCTGAAATCTTGTGCAAATGTAAGTATGCGATATACCTGATGGCCTGCACATCAAAAAGGCCCATAGGTAGTGAGCATGTATGAGCCGGTACAGAGCTAGGTTCTCATTTAATCAAGGCAAAGCATTCCTACTGTGCTGTGCCCTCCTTCACTGGTCTAGGCTGTATTTACTATGCTGTGCTGAACTACATACTATGCTGTCTGGGTTGCTTGTTAATATAGCCTTCCACAAATGCCTTCTATATTTTAATGCCTTTAGCATATGAACTTTACCGTGGCAGTAAGTTAAATGTTTTCTATCAAAGAAACTCTTCCAGAGTTTTGACCTCAGAAAGAGCAACAGCCATGTACGCTTTTCAAGAAATTTCCTTTAACTCAACTGGTTTAAGACTATGTCAGGTAATAATAATAGTAATAGCACATAATTATATAGTGCCTAGCCTACTGAAAGGCTTGGGGTAATTTGGAAGCCTGAACTATTCTAATACCCAAGTCTTTCAGTGAACTAAGTTTGGTCTATGAGGGCGAAATGCGGTAATGGCCAGAATGCCTAGAAAAAATTGCAGGCCCTTCAAAAGGGAGAAGCCCCGTTGGCCCGGGGTGCTGAGACATCATCATCAGAGATCAGTAGAACTATGATTTTAAGTTGAAATATTAAACATAACTTAAGGTTCACCATATTTAAGTGTCAATTTGTTAAATTTAAATAAGCTACTTGAATACTAAGGAAATTTTTTACATCATAAGATGTACTTTAAAAGAAAGTTGAACATATTAAATATACAAACAAGTTTGGAATTTCTGAAGTCATTTACTCAGCTAAATGTTCAAGGAGATGCAGTATTCAAAAGTTATATAATTTATAACTTTTTAAAAATTATATATATGAACTAAAAACTTGTAAATTGAACTTGGAAGCTTAAGCATTAGGTTGTAGGGGCACCCGGGTGGCTCAGTAGGTTAAGCATCTGACTTCAGCTCAGGTCATGATCTCACGATTCGTGGGTTCAAACCCCATGTTGGGCTCTACGCTGACAGTGTGGAGACTGAAGCCTGCTTCAGATTCTGTGTCTCCCTCTCTCTATGACCCTCCCCACTCATGCTCTGTCTCTCTCAACAATAAACATTAAAAAAGGAATTAGATTGTAAAAGTTGTAACTTAAAGCTGAATTTTAATTTGAACAAATAAAATAATCTCTGAACAGTATTTTCTTCACACACAAAAACCCAATATTAACAAATAATAGTATCTCCTTCACACTGCCTACGAAGATAAAGAGGTTTTGTCCTTAGCAGGATGCAAGGCCGTACCAAGTACGCAGCCAACTGATGTGCTGCTGCTGTTCTTGTCAATATTGATGTTATCACTGGGGTGGTTAGTAAAGCACTATGCTCCCTACATAACTATCTTGCCTAGATTTTTGGATATGGGTTTAAGTCAAAAGAACCTGTGTCATTAAAGAGCCAATCCACACAGCCTTAGTTTAAGACACGATTTAGATTGATTTCACTTCACACCATGGTTTTTAAAACAATATTCTTTACTTTGAGAATAGAAGGCAGTTATTTCAAAATCTATTTTCAAGAATAATAAATCATGATTACCTCTAATCATGCCAAGAATAATCACTGATTGCATGTTCAGCCAGAATGATTTTCACTGAAAATGCTACAAAACTTTCTAGATGTTTAATTCACTTAAACAAAATGTTTTAAAGTATATTTTGATAGTAACAATACTGAGACATTTCACTTACTTATAACCCCATGCAGTTATTCCTAATATGAGGGCCAGCACCAAGATAGTGCCAGCGATTATGCCTATTATGATATTGGTACCAGCAACACCTACAGGGAAAAAAGAAAACAATGAAGATCAAGTGTATGTAATTCAAATTTTGATACAAAGTTCTTTCAGGAACTTTATTCTCCATATTTGGAATCATGACACTAACGAAATTATTTGTTTTAAAAAGTGGGTATTGTTTTCTTTTACCGGTCTTAATGTTAGAGAATATTTTTTTTCATTTAATTTTTTTGACCTACAATTGATACACTGTTGTAGTGGTTTCAGTTGTACAGCATAATGATTTGGTATTTGTACATACTGTGAAGTAAAAAAAATGGGTGTTTTTTAAAAGGATAAAAAAATCAACCATTACTTAGCAATCCCCATCAACTGTTTTTTAAAAAATAATTCTTGGCTTACATTCCCTTTTAATACTTGTCCCAGTGCGTTTTGCAGTTTTATTTTCCATGTAATTTTCTCAAAAATAAGATGACGTCAATGAACTACAAGAAGAGTAAAGACTGAAAAAAAGGGAGGGTAAGGGTGACCCTACTATATTGCCATAGCACTCTCTGGACAAGAACTTGTAGAAATTCATGTTCTTTTTTACTCTGACCTCTTCCTCAGGAATTCCAGAGATGTTACAGTCTTTGTCTCTCCATCTTTTTTTTTTTTCAAGTTTATTTATTTTGAGAGAGAGAGACAGCACATAGAAGAGAGAAGAGAGAACATGAGTGGGGCAGGGGCAGAGAGAAAGAAAATCCCAAGCAGGTTCTAAGCACTGTCAGTGCAGAGCCCAAAGCAGGACTCAAACCCGTGAACTGTGAGATCATGACCTGAGCCAAAATCAAGAGTCGGATGTTTAACTGAATGAGCCACCTGGGCGACCCCATGTCACTCCATCTTGACAACTAATGCAAAGTTCTTATTGCTCCCACTTGTACGTGTGATACATTGTCACTCATATATAAGCTCCTTAAGAGAGAAAACATGTCTACAGAGTTATACAATCAGTGCTCAGGTGATACAGATAATACAAGCACCGGGCTTGTAGTTCCCAGTCTTTGTAACAATGGCTGGCATCCTAGAGAAGGAAAAACCAAAGACAGCGTGTAGTGAGCAGGAGATCAGTGCTGGTCAGGCATGAGAGTGAGGCAGCAGCAGACTGGCAGAGGGCCAAGACTGGGCTGACTCTCAGGACTCAGTAATGGCAATGTTGTGTCACCACCTGCTGTCAGATAGGAGAGATGTAATCCATAGGGGAGATCATGTGGTGTGAGTGGCCCAGTAAGTCAAAGCCTTGGTCAAAATGCTCAAGTGACAGCCCAAGAGCAGAAAAGACAGATCAGAGGCCTGGCTGTTTTGCTGATAATGATCTACACCACACATTTCAATCACCCAGATCTGTTTCACTCAGAGCAGCTCAGATCTCTTTTTGTCTGCTGCACTCATGAAGCATCCTTCTAGATGTCAACCATCAGTGATCATGTGCAACAGAGCAGATGGCAAATCCCCATGACAGAAGTGGCAGCCTCCTTGTCTGGGAGCCCTCAGTAAATCATTTCAGGAGCAGGGCATCTGAGGAAACTGGCAGACTCCACCCTGCCCAGGTCCTCTGTGAGATGGGTGGATGCAGAGGACCTTCTGGGTCAGTGGGGTTTTCCTACTGTAAGGCCTGACATGTCTGTATTATCTTCCTTTTCTTCCAGTGATTTTTAACAGGGATCAATAAACTTGGATGCCAGCCTGGTTATTTCTAAGTAATGGTAAGACTTTTGACAAGTCACTTAAATCCATGGATCTGAATAGCCACATCTCTGCTTTAACTGCTAAAAAGAAGCTCCACATTACCATTGCTAAGGCTGAGGATACCAGAATCTTAATTCTTTCACTTTCCTTGCTAAAGTCATCTTGGCTAAGAATTTTAACCTTTCTGGATGATTACAATGAACATACTTCTTTTTTCTCACCCTTTGGAAGTGAATGGACTTCAGAATTTGAGAACTTCTGTATGTAGAACACTCAATCATGAAAGATAATAAAACAGTTTAAAAGGGGACCTCTACTTGCAATGTATGCATTCTTTCAACTATCTGCATTGAATTTCTACTTCTCCAGTTGGACCATTCTAGCTTTTAGATCTGCACCTGTTGTTTATTATCCATGTCCTTAATCCCCTTCCATGCACCTTGGCTAAGGTTACTACTTCTAGAATTACCTACAGTTCAGGCTACAGAACTCAGGTTGAATAGAGATGAGATTCTATAATGAAAAATATTAAAGTCGGGGCACCTGGGTGGCTCAGTCTGTTAAGCATCCAACTCTTGGTTTCGGCTCAGGTCATGATCTCATGATTCGTGAGATTGAGCCCCACCCACCTCAGGCCCTACACGGATAACCCAGAGCCTGTTTGGGATTCTCTCTCACCCTCTCTCTCTGCCCATCCCCTGCTCATGTTTGCTTTCTTCTCTTTCTATCTCTCAAAATAAATAAATAAACTTAAGAAAAAAACACACATTAAAGTCAACAAGATATTTAAAACTCAATTCTTCAACTGTTTTTTTTCCTATGTATTCAGTCCCCAAATATAAAATTCTTCCCTTAAATTCAGACAGTTCAGAAAGAGGACTACTGCTTTTTCACTTAAATGCTAGGGTTTTGTTGTCAGCTCCCAAAAATAGAATACTTGAAAAATCTCAGTCTCATGTAGGACAAGATGAGGCTCAATCAGTAGACTAAGTTATATTCAATATTACACATGATTACAAGTTAATGGAAAATATCAACTTCATATTGTAGATCCCAGTTGTATTTTAAAGTTGAATTATAATCTAAATGAAACTGTCTGAAGAGTTTCCTTTAGTTATGCATAAAACGATGTAATGGCACCAAATCCAGTACCTACCATTGCCAGACAGAGTAATGCCAGTCTTGGAGTCCTCATTGTGAGGGAAGTAAGTGCTGCAGTCTGCACCCACCCAGTGTCTGTTACACACACACTTCAGCTCATTACTGCAAACCTGAAATCCAAAATCAATCAAGAGGAAACGTCAACTCTCTGATACAATGGCATGAAAACTAAAGAGTGATTTCTAATTGTTATATGCCTAGAATTTGATGGTACTGAAAAATTATCGGTACTTTCTTCTTCATACTAATTACCTTATTCCTCACTCAAGTACCCAAAATAATATTTTCTGGAGATCAGCAGTTAGACCCAAAGGGAATAATGAATTTTAACAGGGGAAATGAGTTTACAGTCCAAAAAGAAATCAATGAAATTACTGTTTTGAATTTCATTAACTTAAATTTTATAGGAGGGAGGTTTTTATTTTTTTATTTAAAAAAATTTTATAGGAGGGAGACTTATAAAACTAAGCAGAAATACAAGCATTTGCCAATTATCTAATACAAACGTTTCTTTCTTCCAAACATAAGGTCAGGAATTCTAGATGAAGAAGACATTGTTATCATTAGCATGAATGAACAAGAAATAATTTCAATGTTTTTGCCCTATCCCCCAAAAAGCATTTCCGCTAACATTTTCTTACTTATTAAAGAAAGAAGACTTATTAGACTCATCTATAGGAGCAGAACTACTTACCACATGCCTTCTCTATTTTCATATGCTGTAAGAATTCCTATCCTTTGGCAAAAAGTTACTAGTAAGACCTCCCTAAGAAACTTCTTGGCACATTCCTGGAGATCTATGTGGAATGACCAGGATTAAAGGCTGACAATTTCAGGACAGGGATCCTTCACCTCAACTGGGTATTATGACCAGTTCAAGCAAAGAATCTGGTGAGGGTAGAAAGAAAATCATAGTACATGCCAAAAGAAAAAGAAGTGAAAATTATTTTATTAGTATAGGAATTCCTAACTGAAAATGACAAAACTATAGTCACTAATAGAGCATGTTTATCTAAGCTACAAATTTTGTTATCTAGGACTAACATTATCAGATAGATATATGACAGAAAGAATAAAATTTAGTATTTTATACAATGCCATTATTTCTATTCATTTGTTGATAAACACTTCCCTGAATTATTCAGTTTTTATTTCGAGGAGTTATCCTCAGCTGATACACACTCGGTGTGGCCACAACAGGTACTTATGATCTGTTCTAATTGCTTAGTGCCTGGACAATACGAATTGTTAAATACTGTGGCCAATGATCCTCCCTTTTACACCCTTTTTAAAAAACCCCATTACAGTTTATTAAAATTTGTCTCCCAGATCACTTGTAGAAAACTGGCCATTATACTTCTATTATATGAGATCACATTAACATGATAAGAAAGAAAAACAGAAGAATTTGGTTAGGAAAACTATACTTTTTCTTATTCCCAGGCTTGCACGGATTACGCAAGAGAAATATTCCAGTGACTATGACCAAATAACTGTTTACATGCCAGCTAGAAACAGGGATAAGCATATTTTCCATTTTTACAAAATAAACAGGTTGGGGTCATGTCTATTTCTGTGTTACAAAAGAACAGAGGAGTTTCCCTACGGCAAGGTACTGAATACTTACTCCATTTCCTGAACAAACAGTGCCTTCTTTATTGCTTAAGCAAGTACTAAAGTTGAAGGAAGCCACAGGAAGACACCTGTGTTCTAAGCACATCATTTGGGGACCACAAGGTGTCCCATCTTCCACATAGCCAAGATCTACATCTTCCTCAAGCTTCACATGCCCACCACTAAAACAAAGGAAGCAAAAAGAAAATAGGATTCTATTAAGTCACACTCATTTTGAGAATCTGCTTTAAAAAACTAAAAAGTGGGCAAGAAAGCATTGCCCACTTATTGTACAACTGCAATAAAATCGTACAGTGCTCTCTCCTCCACCATATATTCCTCCTTGGAAGAAACTACTTTCTACTCTATTTTCTACCCATTATCTAATAAAAAAACAACAGCATGAGCATTTTCTTCCTTTAAATGAAGAAAGCAATTGAATCTTTTGATCTAATGCTTTTGAGATATTGACATATTTTAGAATTTGAACATAATTATTATAGCAAAGGTCTGAATTAAAATAGCTTTATCATTTTGCCTTGGATCATGTACAAGTCAAGTGAGGCATTAATGCTAGGATTTGATTTGGTAGTTGTAATTGTAGGTTTCAAGATTTCAAACATGTTTCAAACAAGCATGAGAACTGGTCTGGGTTTACATTTCCCAAGAAGGTTAATAATTTAAAAATTATATTAGAGAATGGCTAAAATATTTAACTTCACTGTTCAATAGAGCAAGCCTACATGTTCTATAGAAATTTAAAAAACCAGAATGAGGTAAAAATGTATATTCATAGTTGATTTACTCATATGGTGCCATGTCAATGCCAGCACATAAATCTCAATTCTTTTTATTTATTTTTATCAAAATGACACATGCATACAGTTTAAAGAGTCAATCAGATAAATCAGTTTTTGTTTTTTTTGTTTTTTTTTTAATTTTTTTTTCAACGTTTATTTATTTTTGGGACAGAGAGAGACAGAGCATGAACAGGGGAGGGGCAGAGAGAGAGAGGGAGACACAGAATCGGAAACAGGCTCCAGGCTCTGAGCCATCAGCCCAGAGCCCGACGCGGGGCTCGAACTCTCGGACCGCGAGATCGTGACCTGGCTGAAGTCGGACACTTAACCGACTGCGCCACCCAGGCGCCCCAGATAAATCAGTTTTTTAAATGTAATAAAGTCATACAGTGCTCTCTCCTCCACCATATATTCCTCCTTGGAAGAAACTACTTTCTACTCTTAATTGATTCTTTTGTTATTTATCCACACATTTTTAAATAATGAGTGTTACTATTTTTTATTTTTCCATTTCAGATATTAGCAACCAACTTACCTCTATGGAACTTGAAGATTTATGTCTTTTTCCTATATCCCCATCATAAATTTTGTTTAATGAATAGTTAAATCAATAATAAAAAGGCACATTATTACGACTATGTAAATGTTATTCAGTTGAGTGATACAGTGTGCCATAATTAAGCCTTTTCTTTCCTGCACAACTTTTCATTTTCCCTCAAATTAGCAAGTCTCTTATTTGTTGTCTTTTTTGCCTACTTTTTAAGAATCTGTCACCAATGTAAACTGATCAAACTCTGCTAACCCCAAATCCATACTTGAGATGTGTCTTGAGCATCAGTTCATCTTCCTGCAGAAATCTCTCCTGGAGTTTCCATCTGCAGTCTGCCCTGCTCCTGTCTGATCTAGTTGTCTACTGTACCTTGTGGAAAACTTGAACACTTGGATCTCCCCTCACCATTCATTGCAGGATTGCCCTGTCTTCATGGTGGGTATTTTGTTTCCTACACACACAGCCTTTCTCTTAGTTTACTCTTTGATTTTGGTGGAGTACAATTTCACCAATAGCTTCCTGGGAAATGGTACAGGGCAATAAATTCAGGGGCAACCTGAATATCGCAAAGTGTCTCTATTTTCTACTTTCACACTTGATTGATAAGGTACAGAAATAAGGTACAGAACTTATTTCAAAAATCATGTTCTCCATTGTCTTCTGATTCCCAGGGCTCCTGTTCATAAGATTCCAAGTCTGATCCTTTTTTTCCTCCTCTCTGGAAACATCTGGGATTCCTTTCTTTGTCCTAAGGTTGTGAAATTTCACAATGACATGTTTAAATGTGCCTCTAATTTCACTCAGTGTATTTGGCACTTGGTGAACCTGTCAATGTAGAAACTCAAGTCTATCCATTGTAGACAATCAAAGTCACTCATTGACAATTTCTTACCTGGTATTTTCTCTGTTCATCGTGTCTATTCTAACTTGGTGAGGTTTTCTCTATGGTTCCATTCCTTTGCTGCTTTTGCCCTACTTTCTGGGAGATAATTTCAACTACTGAGTTTAATTCCTACCTCCCTATTTTAAAATTTCCAACAGCATTTTATTTCTATGAATGCTCTTCATTTTTTTAAATTTTTTTCTATTTTGAGTAAGAGAGACAGCAAGCGAGCGGGGGAAAGGTACAGAGGGAGAAAGAGAGGGAATCTTAAGCAGGCTCCACATTCAGCATGGAGCCTGACGCAGGGCTCAGTCCCACATCTCTGGCATCAAGAGTCGGATGCTCAACTGACTGAGCCACCCAGGCACCCCTGCTCTTCATTAAATAGCACTTTATTCTGGTTTCATGATAGAAATATCTTATCTCTCATAAATATTGACAGGTGCCTTTTTTTCTGGCTCTTTTTAACTCTTTGTGTATGTGTGTTAGAGCCTTTATTCACATGTCTGATAAACTGCTCCTATTTGAGTTAGGAAATCAGATAAACTATAGGAGATTTTAGGGCTTTCTGGCTGAACATCAATGAGGCTAGACCACTTCCATACACCCTGATATCAATATTGCTGGCTATCCTTCAGTTTGGAAACCTGCTTTATTATCTGCAGAATGTAAAGCTCAAATCTTTATTGGGAGGGTGAGCAATCCCCAGTTTAGGTGGGTCAGGCAGTAATCTGTTAGCAGACTTTCAACTATCTTCTTTATTTTAGCCCTTCCTTGCCCCAAATCCTTTACTCCCTCTTGCAGAAGTAGATGATGCTACCAATTTTTGAGCCTTTTGGGAACTAACTTTATATACTGGGCTAGCTCTCAGTTTTCCCCATTACTGACTTAGGAATTCAGCTTTCTTAGTTTTTTGTTTTTTGTTTTTTTAATTATTTTTTAACGTTTATTTATTTTTGAGACAGAGAGAGACAGAGCATGAACGGGGGAGGGTCAGAGAGAGGGAGTCACAGAATCTGAAACAGGCTCCAGGCTCTGAGCTGTCAGCACAGAGCCCAACGCAGGGCTCGAACTCACAGACCGCTAGATCATGACCTGAGCCAAAGTCGGCTGCTTAACCGACTGAGCCACTCAGGCGCCCCTCAGCTTTCTTAGTTTTGACAACTGTCACACATCCATTTGCCTTCCACGCTCCAAAATTTTGTTGCTGTTGTCTCTTCTCCCCTTCTCTGCCTCCCTGTGGATACATGAATTCTAAAAAAAGATCCAGTTAGTGTCATTTTAGTGGGATTTCAGAAGGAAGTAAAAGAAGATGTATATATTTAATCCACTGATTTTACCCAGGAGTTCTCACTCACTTTCCTTAGTAGGAAAGAAATGCAAACCAAACCCTGCAAGGTATTACTGACCCATTAAATATAGCTCCAGCAACTAAAGTCAACTAATTCTCATCTTTTCAACCCTCTTGTGTCAGGATTTACTCAGTCACCTCTCTGGGCTAGATTCCATGTCGCCTTGCTAACATGCATGGGAAGTGAAAACCGAAGTGATTCTACGCGGCAGTCCTCAGAAGATGAATGATGTTCTCATGGAAAGAGGTAGAGCATTACCTGCAGTTTAATGTTCTTCCCTGCTGCACAACCAAAGTAGATGTGATTTCACCGTCAAGTTCCCCAAGCCTTGGGATGTTACCAACATTGGTGCACAAAAGGTAACCACAAAGCACATCCCTGTGTTAAAAGATAACAATTCTTTACTTCTTTCCACAAAGAGAGAACAAACCATGTATAGTTAGAACAATAATCTTATCCTGCTTTAGCGTTTTTCATGTTTGTTTACATTTTATTTGCTCAAATTACAAGCTAAATACGCCCAAATTAATTTGCCTCTCACTTTAAAAAGTGTCTTCTCGGGGCGCCTGGGTGGCGCAGTCGGTTAAGCGTCCGACTTCAGCCAGGTCACGATCTCGGGGTCCGAGAGTTCGAGCCCCGCGTCGGGCTCTGGGCTGATGGCTCAGAGCCTGGAGCCTGTTTCTGATTCTGTGCCTCCCTCTCTCTCTGCCCCTCCCCCGTTCATGCTCTGTCTCTCTCTGTCCCAAAAATAAATAAACGTTGAAAAAAAAAATTAAAAAAAAAAAAGTGCCTTCTCTGAAACTCCTATTAGTGCACCAAAATCCCAACTGTGTTCTAGCTTTTCCTGTACTGTCCATTAGTTCAAGTATTTGTTAAAGGAAATTATCCATCAGATAGACATCTTTTAGATCAGAATCTCTTTCTCTAGAACATATTACTGGATATGTTAAAACATTTTTTAATATTTGGTAAGTGAATAAATGATCTTTGGGTGAGTATTCTTTTGGAATACAGCTCTTTCTTTAACCTGTTGCCCCCAAATAAAGAAGAATTATGTGTGGGGGGGGGGGAGGGTATGTGTCTGTATATATAGACACATACCCACACACACTCATGATCCCTTTTTCAATATATTCCACTATTCCTCCAACTGCCACATATAATAACTAAACCTGTAAAATATTTGTACTGGTATAAAATATTATCTGACATATTTTCTGCATATAGAACATTTTAATTCCTAACATACATAATTATAAATACATATACTGATAACTATCTTGTCAAGAATGATTAGTAGACTAGCAAGATTATATATGGAAATAGGCTTTATCAGATAGAGAAAAGAGCAAAATTAGAATTTACATCTATCACTAACACGGAAAAATGCATTAATTCATCCTTAAAAAACAATTTTTAAAAGTTATTTCATTTTATCATATCTATCATAAACAAAAATGCTTTCTTAACACAGAAGAGATGGTCAACATTTTTATAAGTGTTATCGGGGCGCCTGGGTGGCGCAGTCGGTTAAGCGTCCGACTTCAGCCAGGTCACGATCTCGCGGTCCATGAGTTCGAGCCCCGCGTCAGACTCTGGGCTGATGGCTCGGAGCCTGGAGCCTGTTTCCAATTCTGTGTCTCCCTCTCTCTCTGCCCCTCCCCTGTTCATGCTCTGTCTCTCTCTGTCCCAAAAATAAATAAACGTTGAAAAAAAAAATTTATTGTTATTTATGTGCATGGAGCTTACAAAGTACTTTAGGATATACAAAGAAAAAAAGACACGGTCAAGGAAATACACTCTTGGTGAGAAGAGAATCGCACACATAAACAACGATAAAACAGAGAGGCTGGGACAAGGGCCACAATAATAGAACAAAAGGCCGTGGGAATTCAGAGAAGAGGGAAATGACTTTACATTTGTTTATTTATTTTGAGAGAGAAGGAGAGATGGAGAGTAAGCAGGGCAGAGGCAGAGAGAAAGGGAGACAGAGAATCCCAAGCAGTCTCCATGCTGTCAGCACAGAGCTTGACGTGGGACTCAAACCCACAAACTGTGAGATCATAACCTGGACCAAAATCAAGAATTGGATGCTTAAGTGGCCAAACTACCCAGGCACCCCGAAAATGATTTATTTCTAGAATAAACCCAGAAATAATAAAGTATGGAGAGAGGTGGGGGGGAGGGGCAGAGAGAAAGGGAAAGAGAGAATCCCAAGTAGGCTCTGCACAGTCAGTGCAGAGCCAGATGCAGGGTTCAAACTCACAAACTGTGAGCTCATGACCTGAGCCAAAACCAAAAGTCAGACACTTAACCAACAGAGCCACCCAGATGCCCCTCAGTAGAAGAGTAGAATACAGCATGCCAGATCTGCTTGGCTTAAAACACTGTTAAGAGGCCTTTGTAATAGACCAAGCGTTAACATAGGTCTTAGCTGGGGTAACAGGAAAGGAATGAAAAGATGAATTAAAGACAAATGGTGGGGGAGTAAAAGGGAAGAATGGCCATGATTTGGCATTTGGACCATGTGTCAGAGGGACAGCGGCATCAAGGTCCATTGTGAGGCTTCTCAACTGGAGGACAGTGAATTATGGTGACCTCTGACAAAAACAGTGGTTTAGAAAAGTCAGAGCCAGCTAACTGAGTACATATTCTGGTGGCTTTAATTTTTGTTGCTTTTGAGATGCTAGCAGGTGCCTTCTAGGTGAGCAAGTCCTGAGGCAGCTGCAAGTGTGACCTGGGCCTTTGAGGAGAGGCCAGCATATGTGTTAAGATTTGGGAGGCTTCTGCAAGGTGGTGCTGGGATGCAGTGAAAAGATGAGGTGAGCAGGCAACTGAAAGCTCTGGAGGATGCAGAGAAGAGGAAATGGGACGCTGAAAGTAATGCTTGTAATTCACTAAGGGATAAACTCTGGACAAACTTCATCTCACCGTTTGTTGCACTGTATCCACGTATCTTTGTCTTTTCCACAGTTACCCTTCTCTGTCCCTTCGATGTTCAGTTTCTCATAGCAGTATTTGTCTGATGCCATCACCTCTGAAGCAGAATAGAGTTTTCTCTCAGTGAGGGACAGAACACGTGAGTTGCTCAAAATGTTTGCAGTAAGGGAAAGAAGCCGTCTAAGGACTCTTCTTCATGACAATGTGGCCAGTTCCAAAACCTGGACCCATGGTTCTCCAGAGTTTTACTTGACCACAGACATCCTTGACTCAGCTACATTCTTCATGACTGCTCATTGGAAATTTGGAAAACCAATCTATGTCAATCTTTGATAGGATTGAAGCTATCGGTTCCAAGGAACAACACTCCTCACAATTTGGCCAATAATTAGGGCAAGATACTACCAAATGGTTCCCAGAATAAATACTCCACACTTTAATCTCAGCGCCAAATATAAAGCACAAATTTTTTACGTGTCAATTTTTATTAATCATAACGATGAGTTTATTAAAATAGCTATGTACTATAATTAAAGATTTAAGAAACAGTATGAATTCTACCTTGTTTATAGTTAATTCTTATAGTTAATTCTATAGTTAAGTCTATAGTTAATTCTACCTTGTTAATTCCTAACAACTATCAAAAAAACCACCTTAATTTTATTCTGTTCTAAATAAGCTTGAATTCATGTTAAATGTATGAGGGCCAAATAACATTTTAAACAATGTCAGTATTACAAAACTTTAATTTTGCTAAAGCCAGGGCTGGCTAATGGGATTGTCCTGTAGTGAGATCAAAAATGACTTTTGCAGGCGCCTGGGTGGCGCAGTCAGTTAAGCGTCCGACTTCAGCCAGGTCACGATCTCGCGGTCCGTGAGTTCGAGCCCCGCGTCGGCTCTGGGCTGACGGCTCGGAGCCTGGAGCCTGTTTCCGATTCTGTGTCTCCCTCTCTCTCTGCCCCTCCCCCGTTCGTGCTCTGTCTCTCTCTGTCCCAAAAATAAATAAATGTTGAAAAAAAATTAAAAAAAAATGACTTTTGCAAACTAATCAAATGATTACTGTTTGTGTATATTTTATTTTTTTTTATTTTTTAATTTTATTTTTTTCTTTAAATTAAAGTTAACTTACACACAGTATAGTCTTGGTTTCAGGAGCATTTGTGTATATTTAAAAAAATAACTAGTCACCATTGGTAGTTCTTTTTCCCTACTTCTTGCGGTGAGCAACACTTTCTTCTCAAGCGGGGGAAACAAAACGGTAACTCTGTTCAGAGTGCAAACGTGCACACACCTCCCCTCCCAAACAGAATGCAGCCACTATCTGTGACAAGTAAAGATTAGCATTATCTTTTGAGCTTGCTTTCTAATACAAATTGTCTTCTGAAGGAGTTTCAAAAAAAACTGCTTTCAAAAGGGCCAGTAACACTGGGGGAAAAATAATGACACAACCTTTAAATACACATTTAAATAAAGATATAATTTAAGTTATATGTTTTAGAAATCAATGTTACATTTCCCTCAGAAAATGTGACAAACTTTGAAAGTGATAATGCTGAAATTTTTTTCTGACACGGTAGAGCTACCTCAGCAGAAGGTCACCTGTAATTTTAAGAGAGATGGTTGAGGAAGAAAAAGCCACTCTAGCTAAACTGCTACAGTGCCAAGGGTGCCCTATCCAGGGTCCGTGTCCATTCCATATGGTTGTACAGGTTTTGCTTAAGGACATTCAGCTGAGGGAAGTGTACACGGAGCTCAAATCCAGGTTTGTTCTATTCTCCAGGCTGCACGCTCTGGGGTGGACTTCACCTGCCTGTCAGCAAAGGCACCTTATTTCTTGTCCAAAGGCACAACCAACTAGCCACGTGTCTTTCAAGGGAGGTGCTCCTCTCTAATTCCACAAAAGTGACCCTTCCAAGACTTGCAGTGTCTTTGAGAATCCCCCAGTCATAAAGTGGTTCAAAATTAACTTCCAGCCCACACGTCATATGGCCTCATATCATATTGTGAAAGCAATCAATCCACGCTATTTACTTACTTTGCCCCCAGATGTATTTGCATTGTCTATCCCTGGTTTTACATCTTCCTCCAAAGCAAATCCCCTAAAATGGAAAAGCACACCTATTAATGATGCAGTGTCTGCTTATGTCGGATCACTGAAAAAGAAACTGTGACTGCGACAGCTAGTAGGTGAGTATTATAAAGCCTTTTATCTTCAGAATGGATTACAAAACATTTAAACTGACTTTCCTCTTTTGATAAGATTTCAGTATTTCTTTCATGCTGGCACACATGAAAGATTTAGGTAAAGATGAAGTAACCTACCTGAATACCATCACATGAATATCCATCCATTTTATGAATATTTGGGGCACACTAGGAAATGAAAACAGAACTGTGAACCATGTGCACAGCAAAATATCAGGCTGAGCTAATCCCTGTAACGTTTCCATTAAAAAAAGGTAAAATAAAAGTCTGATAATATGGTAAGTCTCTTAAAACAACTGAAAATAAAAACAAAAAAGATCAAGAGAAAGCAAAAGGAAATGTAACAATTGGTGCACTTTCCTCTAAAAATATGCATCTACCAGAGGTATAAACAGTTGATTACATAGTAGCAAATAAAAAGAAGCAACAGCAATGACTCAGACAACCCCAACATTTCAGAGCATCTTGCTTTATACAGATACATCATTCCTCAGAGCGAGAAAAACGAGAGCGCAAAACAGAGCAAGGAGGATCCCAACGTAAATGAAGCAATAGCTAGTTTCCTCTTTTTTACCATGAGAAGCACCACAGCCCTTACTCTTAAAATGCTCCTTGAGCAGAAATCCACCTAACGCACATTAGAAAAATCATGTTATTTTATAGCCTTGGTTTTCCCTTGTAGCAAGTGCAGAAAATTGTAAAACATTCCTGTGTGGCTATAAACAGTAATTTTTAAATTTGTTACACATTTTTTTCTATCTTTAATAATTACACACTCACTTGAGAAAAGTTAGTAAATGTAAAAAAAGTAAAAACACACACACAAAAGTCTCATGTTCCCACCACCCAGAGACAATTTTTTATATTATGGTACATCTTTTTCTTTACATTTTTCTACAAAATTTTATTTTTTATTCTTTATTTACTTTCTTTTTCTTTCTTTCTTTATTTTTGAGAGAGACGGCTCATGAGAGTGGGGCAGGGGCGGAAAGAAAGAGGGAGACAGAAAATCCTAAACAGGCTTCACAAGGTCACCTCAGAGCTCAACGCAGGGCTCGAAGTCATGAACTGTGAGATCATGACCGGAGCCAAAATCAAGAGTCAGATGCTTAACCGACTGAGCCACCCAGGCGCCCCCAAGATTTGATTTTTTTAAACACAGGTATGTAATCAAGTTATAGATAGTATTTTATATTCAGCTTCTTCTCTTTATTTTTTCATCACATGAATTTCCTCATGTCACAATAAGTGTTTTTGTAGGGAATCTCTTTAATAGCTGTAGTACGTTGCATTGTGCTAACAAACCATATAACCACCGTACTGCATTATTCATTTATAATTATAAAATATTATAAATTTATAAAACACTCATTTATAATTAAACAGCAGTTTATGCTGTTACAACTAATTCAACAAGAGGATCTTTATATGCCATCTTTGGATTTGGGCTTCTTTATTTTAAAAACTCCTACTTAATGGATTTCCAAAGAAGTTGCTTTAATATACTCCCCCTCCAGGAACATATGAGGCAATCATTAATTGTATCCTCATCATCACTACGTGTTAACTTAGAAAAACAATGCTAATCAGATAGTAAGAAAAGAAAATACTTTCATATGAAAGATCTTTAGTCTCTTAGGATGACTACCTTTAAAAAAAAACATTTTTAATGATTAATGCAGGTTTACCACTATTGAATCCCTCTTCTCTAGAAGAAAAAGATGTAGGCTGTCCTTGTTTTGCATGGCGCCAATATACATGAATTTCAGTCACCATGGTTTTGTTAAATGACATCAGTACCCCAATGACACGGTTCCAACTTCAGTTACCACAGCGTATTGACTGTGAGTAACTGCATAAAGCACAAACTTTGCTGCTAACTTGTTAGTCGGTGATCACTAGGTATATGACAGCTGCCATTGTGGTCAGTGATCCAACCTGTCATTTCTCACAAAGTCCGCAAGGGACTGGTACTCGCCTGGATGCATTTAGTTCATGCAGACAACACAGGTTGTAGCTGTGCTGCCTCTCTGTCTCTGGGTAATAGCACGTGACATTTTATAAAACTGGACAATCGTAAGAGGGAGCTGGCCAGAAACGATGAAAGTGCAGAAAAGAAATGAAAAGTGATGACACTAGAAGTGAAATTCCAATCAAACGTAAATTGAGTTACAGAAAAAAAAAAGCACTAACTAGGAATGCTGATACTGCTGTTTGGCCAAAAAAAAACCCTCCCATTCACATCTTCACATCTCCTGGAGATATTTCACAACATTGGAAGTACAAAGGATAAAATGTCAAAAGCTGATCCAAACTTAGAAGGGAGTGTGATCATTGAACAAGGCACAGAAAAGATGCTTACTATGGATCTTAAGGTTTCTGAACAGAAGACATGCACAGCTCTAACTACTCCTGATAAGGATTTTACAACAAAAATAAAGCTTTTAATTCTCAATGTTTGTTTTAATTTAGCATGCTAAATAAATACTGGTTTATTTTTTCATCTCCTTATTCACTTAAAACCAAGAGTAAGAGAGGTTTTAGTAGGCTGGCAACATTTTTTAAAGATCACAGAACAACTCTCATTTTTTCCATTGATTAAGATGACTTTACATGACTTCAGCCTGCATGGTCATTTTTATGGTCCCACACTACCATGCAAACTGAAAACTGTCTGTATATATAAGGACCATGTGAAATCTGTGAACTCTCACCAAAGTGTATCAGTTCCCGCATCTTCTCCATTTACAACTACATAATACTAAATTCAAGAGCAGGTATTAATGGGTGAGGTGCTGCATGTGGCCTCAGATCAACAAAAGACAGAACAGACCCCTTCTCACAACCCAGGGCTCTGTGGGTCTCTGTGCCTTGGCTGGCTCCTGTCTCAACCAGCTGAATTGAAAATTAGACAAAAAAAACAAATGCCTTTTACTCTCTCCTTAAAACCAAAATAGTTAAGGTATGAATGTAGTCTTAGGTTAGTTCAACATTAAGATAAAATTACACGGAACATCTGCTCAAGCTTTGATCACGGACACTTAAATTCCCAGAAGTAAATAAAGAGAGAATGAGAACTGATGTAGAAAAGACATCGTGTCCCTTGACACTTTGTCTGGGGGCCAGGGCACTTAAGCTAACCCTGCTTTTTTGCCATCAGGTTTAGAGGAATGATTCTGTAAAGTACCTGGCTTGAATTTCCTGAGCACGTTTCACGAATATCGCAATCATTTACTGCTTCTCGGCACACAGTCCCCATAGGCTGAAACTAAAATGAACAAAAATCAATGTGTAAAACTGTTGAAGAAAAAAAATCTCTCACAGTATCTATCGTCTTAAAAAAAAAAAGCAACATGAATATTTTTGGATAAGAATATTTTAGGCTGTTTTAAGATGGTAGTCTGAAGACCACAGTTACTGAATGAAACGTTCATTTAGTAAGTTTTCAGAGAGAGTTTCTCTTGTGTGAAAGAATTTGCATACTCATCACACAGAAGTCTTACAACATCTACTAAAATAGGGTACATCTTGATGGTACCTCTCCCCAGAAGGACAAGTCAGTCCATGTTCTACTAATTCTCCCTCTCAAAAAGGTTTTAGATTTACACTTTCCTCTTCATTTCTTACTGGCACCCTTGTCACATTACTCTTCTTTGGCTTATCTGCCAAGAATCTGAATGTTACATTCCGGGCTGAATTGCAAAAGTTAGATTTTCTGGCAAAGCAATTTCTTTCCATACTGTGCTTTATCTCCTGCCTCATTTTTATATAGATCTATGGCTTGGTCTTTTATTCTTGTCTAATGTTCTTGTTATTTGTATACCTGTGTATGGGAAGAGTCTTTCCTCTTTGTTTGTTTTTGCTTTTTCTTTTCTCTATTTTCAACTATCTCAAATATTTCTCATAAGTATAGGGGTTACAAATAAAATTTTAAGCTCACTGAATTTATAAATTGCTAGAGTCTTTATCCTCACAAAACAGACACACAAAGTCATCATCTTCCTTCTCTCCTCTTCCATACTATTTTCTTTCCCTCTCCAAAATGCTAACAAATGCTATGTCTACTCACACAAACAAACACTCGATGTGGGCCCCTCCCTCCCCCACTAACTTCCATTTTCTCTGCCTTGCTCACAACCCTCCAAGCACTTGAGTTTCCTATTGTTCCTAGAATATGAACAGCCCACTCCAATCAGGATTTCAACAGTATTTCTTAGAAGATCGAAACAAAATTTGTATTCATTTAGTTACCAAGTATTTACTAGGCACTTAACATGTGCCAGGCACATTCTAGTCACTGGGGATTCAGTGGAGGAAAAAAAAGCACAAGAATCCTGCTTGCAAGGAACTCACATTTTAGTGGGAGTAAATAGGCCATGAAAATAAGGAAATAAACAAGTAATTTAAATTCATATACTCTGGTTCTTATCCTTCCAATTTCTTGGGATTGAGGTAAGTAAGCCACAATTTTAGAACATTCTCAGGTACAAATATAAGCAGATTTAAGATGGAGTTTATATGAGAGTGTAAATGTTCTAGAACTGCCAAGAAACTTCTGAAAGAAAGCCCAGTGAAGGACAGTTTGCTCTAAGTGCTGGGATATGCAGTAGCTAAAGTGACCCAAATCCCTGCCCTCTTGAAACTTACCACTGAGTAAAGAAAAATAATAAGTCAATGGGCAATGTTTTAGAGCAGGGGTTGGCAAATTATAGCTTGAGGACAAAGAGTGGCTGTCCATCTGTTTTATTGGAACATAGCCATGCTGATTTGTTTCCATATTTTTTTACAACATTTTAAAAAAGTTTATTTATTTATTTTGAGAGAGAAGGAGACAGCGTGAGCAGGGGAGGGGCAGAGAGAGAAAGGAAGGGAGAGAATCCTAATCAGGCGCCCTGCTGTCAGCACAGAGCCCAACGTGGGCTCGAGCTCATGAAGCTGTGAGATCATGACCTAAGCCAAACCCAAGAGTTGGACACTGAATCGACTGAGCCACCTAGGTGCCCCTTGTTTCTGTATTTTCGATGGCTGCTCTCAAAGGCAGAGTTGAGTAACTGAGACAGAGAGCTTATGACCCACAAAGCCTTAACTATTTACTACTTGACCCTTTACCTAAAATGTTTGCCAACTCTGACTTATAGATACTTTAGCATAAATACATACAGGGAAAACAGAGATACACAGGACTTCTCATCCTGTTTTTCTGTTCTCCCTCCTCCATTCACTATCCTGCCTCTGGCTCCTCCAGGAGGGTAGGGTGGGAGTAAGAGCTGGAGGTGCAGGATAGAGAGAGTGGCAAAAAGCTCTTACTTGACTGGTGTAACTGTAGCTTACTTTGGGGGATAGTTAATCCTGACATTTTATTGTACATATTATGATTCTATTATTTTATATTTGTTCCTTGAAATATTCATATCACAAAGAGCCTAATTGTATACTTCAAAATAAAAATGGCATTTTATAAATGGGCAGACTTAAAACATCGAAGATTAAAATAAATGATGGGGGACCCATTGTTATGGCAGTTGGAGAAGCTGACAGATTATATAGTTGATGCAGCCCAAATTTAAAAATGTCTGTTTCATATTTGATTTTATATTCCTTTTTTAGAAAGTGCTTTCAGAGATCTCTGCCAGTGCCTTGCTTGTCTTAAAAAGCTGCCAGAGACATAGTGATAAAGTGGAAACAACACAAATGCTGCCAGCAGATCTGGGATGTAACTTCACATTTATTCCTTAATAGCTGAATGAGCATATGCAGGTTATATCACTTCCTTGAGACCAGGATTGCTCAACTGGAAAAATAAGGATAATAATGCCTTTCCCAAAAGTGTGGTTGTGAGCATTATCTAAGACAGCAGTCTCAAGCAGCAATGATCTTACCCCCAAGGGGACATTTGGCAATGTCTGGAAATATTTTTGGTTGCCACGGCTGGGAGGGGTGGTGCTTGTATCTAATGGGCAGAAGTCAGGGATGTTGCTAAATAACTTACAGTACACAAGACACACCCTCAAAACAAAAGAAAAAATTATACAGCCAAAAATGTCAATAGTGCCAGGGTTGAGAAATCCAGATACATGATGATATAACATAAAAGTGTTTACCACAATCCCCGGCACACAGTAGATACTTAGTATGATAGGTTCATATCCTACTCTCCCTTAACTCATTAGACTAACATTAGTCAATCAGCATATAATCAATAAGAGAGTGTTGCACGTATTTATTCTTCATTCAACAAATATTTACTAAGAACCTGTAGCAGTTACTGGGTAAGTACTAGGGGCACGTAGGTGGCTCAGTCAGTTGAGTGTCTGACTTTTGATTGTGGCTCAGATTATGATCCTAGAGTCATGGGATGGAACCCCATATTGGGCTCCACACTGAGCAGGGAGCCTGCTTAAGATTCTCTCTCTGTCTCTCTCTCTCTCTCTCTCTCTCTCTCTCTCTCTCAGCTCCTCTCCTGCTCAGGCTCTCTCTGCTAAAAAAAAAAATACATACTAAGATGTATACCAAACCTCAGAGATAATGTAGTATACTGTACCAGATTTTATATGAGAAGAGAAAAAAAAGAAATAGATTTATTTGAAAAAGATAAGCCTCAAATAACTTTTCATCCTGATGTTAAGGCTTAAATATTTGGAGAGAGGTATAGGATGCCATTGGGAGGATGAAAACAGATAATGTGAATAAAGATGCATTCTAAACTCTCATGTGAAGTGTTATCATGTCTAAAAGTACAGCTTCTGATCTCTCAACTGCTAATGCAAGAAATATACCAAGCAGAGCAGCAAGGAAAAAGAATCTACTGAATAGCCACTTGGCTTTACAAAGAAAGGAAAAACACAATCCGAAGGTTAGGAACACCTGGCTTCATACAATGTGCATATTTCTCAGGGAGGCAGTAATAAGAAGACAAACTGAGGAGATTAACAAGGTTCAGGACCCAGCTCTGTGACTCACGTGGTACAAGACCCCAGGCACACTCGCACTTAGTCACTCAATATATCTTAGACACTACTATTGTTATTACATTATATTTACCCAGTCTTAACGATTAAATCAAATATATCCTCTTTTTTTGTCAATTAGTCATTGCTCAACATTTATTTACCTTGCATTTCTTACAACAAAGACCATCGCTGCATTGAGAGTCTTGAGTCAAGGTGCATTTCTTACAACACTCTGCTCCTTCAAGGACACATTCCTAAGGAATATAAACATTTGTAAAACATCAGAAAATCATGCCATTTTCCTGAAAGTTGCAGAATATTTTTTAAAGAAAAGTATATAGACCCCCCCCAATAATAATCTTTCTTCCATATATCCTATGAAATTTCCAGACATAACACCAGCTCTGTATGTCTCAGTGTGTGGAATGACTCTGAATAACCTAAAAAAAAAAAAAACCATCAAAACACCCAGAGACTTACTGCAGGGGTCCCACAGTCACACTCCTCTCCAGTTTCGATGAAGCCATTGCCACATTCAGGAGGATCGAGCAGCTGCAGGATGAAACCAAAAAGACAACTACAATTTAGATAAATCAAGATCAAAGACCTTACGAGGGACCATAAGTGCCACACCTACGCATGCGGCATACTTATCAGTCATTTCAAAGTATATTTTATTTTCCCAAACTTGAAAGCTTAACTTTAGAATTTTAAAACTGGGAGCTTTAGAACAAAAGTGTCTACTTCTGTTTCCATTTCAGATTTAATTATATTTACATAAGTAACATACATATCAAGTCTAGTAAATTCCACCAAAATAAAGATGATCTAGCCATTGACCCTTGAAAATTTCATTTCAAAGAAGAAGCAAGAGATTTGGGGACAGAAAGTCTGTTCAAATCTTGGCTCAGCTACTTATCTTGGGCAAATGGCTTGTCATCTCTGAGCACATAGGTGCCTTAATATTTCAAGCAACAATAATAATAATATTAGCTGCCCATCTACATCACAAATTATTGTGAGAATCAAGTTCAATTATCTGTGAAGGCCAACTAACTATATCTCCTTGTGAAATAGAGAGTTATTTCATAGACAAGTAGGAAAACATCACAAAAATTAATAAATCCATTGATTTATTTAATATTAAATAGAACTCCTCCTATTAACATAGTTTTACAGATAATGGTAATAATAATTTGCCCCAGAGATGGAAGCAACTTTTGGCCTGTACAAGAGTATATTTTAAGGCCATTTTATCTTTTAACTCTGTAACAATTACATTATCTTTTGAGCATAACTTACCTTATGGTGATAGTTAAAATTAGTAAGTAGCTGCTATGTTCCACTTACATATTACTTATTCAGAAGTTCGTCAAAGTTTATGTGTTATAGAATGGGCTGGAACACACACCTATCACAGACATACACCCACACATACACTTTCTTAACTAATTAGAGGGGGGAAAACAGAATAAAAAAAGCAGCAATAACAACAACAAAACCCCCACCTGATTTCAAATATTCTCTTCTCTCCTACAAAATAATCAAAACATCTTTAGATTCTATTTTCAGTTGAAAGGGATCATAACAAATCAGACAGCTTTAAAAGCCAAACTAAAACTTATTAAGGTGAAAAACACACTTATTCTTTTACTCTGAGTTCAGAATAATCAGTTATTTTGGTAAAGAGGCTTGAATTGTTTTTCATTTATAGCAGCAGGGATTTAGATCAAATATCCCTTCTGAAGTTTTGCAACAAGTCTCACAATTATCAAGTTGCTTTTCAAGGCAATATGATACTCTTCCTAAATTTCACTGGAACAGAGAGAGAATGAAACCAGGAAAAATGATTATAAAGGCAATGCCACTCATTGCTATGGCACACAGAAGCACGGAATGGTTCACATAATTAACAAGGACAAAGCTTTCTACTGCATGCAGTTTTCCAAATGCATGAGGAAATTATTGCTTTCAAGTCAGTAACCAGAAGATGCCCTGCATGTTGGAAAAGCCTCTGACAAAGTCTAAGTACACAAAGACTTTCTCCTTTTCTGCTGTAAGCAGCCTTGGTTTTTATACTGAGAAGTAATGGTAATTTTAATCATACTGCTCATTCTGAAAGGCAGTGGTGGGGAGTAATGTGGGAAGCAATGCCCTCCTTGCTATCAGTATGAGTTGTGATTACATATCCAACAAACAAGGATCCAAGAACATGAGAAAGAAGGCAAATGACACCATCTTTGTAAGCTAATTATTTTTCAGAAGGAACATAGTCTTTCTACCTGCTTTCTATTCCTATCAGAAGAGCCCCAAATGCCCAAAATTAAGGCTGACTTTAAAATGCAGACATTTTAGGGGCGCCTGGGTGGCTCAGTCAATTAAGCATCTGACATCTGCTCAGATCATGATCTCGCATTCATGGGTTCAAGCCCCACATCGGGCTCTATGCTGACAGCTCAGTGCCTGGAGCCTGCTTCGGATTCTGTGTCCCTCTCTCTGCTCCTCCTCCACTTGTGCGCTCTCTCTCTCTCTCTCTCTCAAAGATGAATAAACATTAATAAAATGAAATAAAAGCAGGTATTTTAGGGCTCCTGGGTGGCTCAGTTGGTTAAGCGTCCAACTTTGGCTCAGGTCGTAATCTCACAGTTCGTGAGTTCAAGCCCCGTGTTAGGCTCTGCGCTGACAGCTTGAAGCCTTCTTCGGATTCTCTCTGTCTCCCTCTCTCTCTCTCTGCCCCTCCCTGGCTTGTATTCCCCTCCACCTCTCTCTCCAGAATAAATAAATAAACATTTTAAAAAATAAAATAAAATGCAGATATTTCACGTATCTAGTTTATGTACATATAAGCCAAGTTAGAAAGCCTTCTTTTGTAAGACCCAATGGCTAAAAACTTGTGCTTGTAATAGATTATAATATATATAATATAACAACTGATTATTATTAAAGATTATTAACTAATAACTCTGATCACACTTATTACCTTGGAAGGTTTGTTGAAAAGGCAGGCACCACCCCCACTATTCAGAAAGTCATGATACTCTTCAATATTACATTGAGTGAATTTTTTAGGAAGATAATACCTAGAAGACAGAAGAAAAGCAATAATTGGGTACAATTTTAGTCCCTTATCTGTATGTTAGTCTTAAATTTGAACATTGTTAGAATTGCAACATTATTCTTAAAGATGAAAGAATAAATTCCACTTACGTGCAAAATTTGTGTTAAATCCATAAGACTTTCATTCCACCAATACATTTCTAAATTATTCATTGGGTAAGTAATCGTGACTATGGGTTATTCATTGTTAGCATACACATGCAAAGGAAACAACACATACCTGTATTTTCAATCAAAGAGAGCTAGGAATACTTTATTTCATAATGAGTCTTTCTTAAATATTAAAACCGGGCTGGATCCCAAACTGCACAACATCTTACAAAGTAACTGCTTTATAATCTTTACAAAGTAACATGCTTTATGAATGTGTCAAAGTCATGAAAGTCAAAGAAAAACCAAAGAACTGTTCCAGATTGAAGGACACTAAGAGACATAAAACTAAACATGATGCTTGATTCTGAACCTTCTGTTAAAGGGGCATTTTTGAAATAGAGGGCTAATCTTGAATGAGGGCTAGGAATCAGATGATCTCCTTGGTTGTACTGTGGTTCTGTAGGAGGAGCTGGTCTGTAGGGAATGCACACTGAGGTGCTTGGGGGTGATGGGGCACCAAGTTAGCAACTTAAGATTCTAAGAAGATTCTTTGTTATTATTCTTGAAACTTTTCTTAAGTTTATGTATGTATGTACATATATATATATATATATATATATATATATATATATATATATATATAAAGAAAGGTATACCAAAAAAAAGTAATAAAGGATCAGTAGAAAAGGAAATGTGGCTAGCGAACAATGGCAATATATATTCAGAACCTTCAAAATGAGAAATATCCTTAAATCTGATAATTCTGCTTTAAGAAATTCTTCTTGAGGAAATAACTAGCTATGTGTACAAAGATGTTGGAACAGAGGGACTTCCCACTGGAAGTTACACAATTTATTTATTACACAAGTTGTAATAGCCAACACTATGAAAATCACCTAAATGTACAGAAATAAGAAACTGCTAACTAGCCTGTGATATATTAATAAAATAGAATACCATGTAGTTATTAATAATCATGGGGTCAAAAACTACTCAGAAAAATGCTGACTATATAATATGTTAAGTAAAAAATGAATAAACAATGACATATCCAAGATCCAAATTTTATAAAGCAAGAATAAACATGGAAAGAGAAAAAAATACTAATTAGCAGTATTTTCACATTAACCATGGCTATTACCAAATAATGAGACAAGGAGAAATTAGTATTTAATTTTCTATTTTTCAAAAATTGTTTTAATTGAACATTTTTTTCATGTTTATTTATTTTTAAGAGGAAGAGACAGGGTGCAAGCCGGGGAGGGGCAGAGAGAGAGGGAGACACAGAATCTGAAGCAGGGTCCAGGCTCTGAGCTTTTAGCACAGAGCCCCGACGCGGGGCTCGAACTCAAGAACGGCAAGATTATGACCTGAGCCAAAGTCGGACACTTAACCAACTGAGGCACCCAGGCACCCCTAACATTGAACTTTTATAAAAGTGAAACATAATTAAAAGAATAATGGATAGTTTTTATAAAGTCTCTCCCACCAGCCTGCAAGTACGATGTCCACTTATATCCCTACTTCTTTCTACCACAAAGGTTAATGCTTTGTGAATCAATTAATGGAATTTACAATGATTATGCATCCTAAACTAATTTGTCAAGTGTTTCATGCCAAATAAAGAAAGGTATCCTGGGTTTACGTTATCTGAATTATTTTATTTCCTTCACTTCATCTTCCTAATAGGTCATGAACTTTATGCTTTATTTAAGAAGTTTGTTACACATATTACTTACTTTTTTCCTTCCATTGCCTATACCCTAGTCAAAGTTTTTATCATCTTCCCCTCTAATCCATCCTATGTATCTCTGTCTGAGTTATGGGATTTAAACAGGATTTCTTTAAGTTCCCTCTTCACTCTACTGGCCAAAACTTGAGATAGCTCCCTACTGGGAAAGAAAAAAAGTGACTAATTCTTAGTGTTGGACCCCTAGTGTTAGAATCCAACTCTAGTTCAGCCTCTACCCTGCAAAGGAGCCCTCTCGGGCCTCAGCCTGGCCCAGCCTCCTGCCCACTGCTCACCTGGGGGTTTAGTCTGCTCTTAGCAGTGACAGGAAACTCACCACCTTATAGGAAAGTTCTTTCTACATATGAAGAGTTGGAATTTGTGGATTTCTCTTACCTTCACCATGCCAAGTCTGACTTCCTATAACTGTCACACACAGTTGTGTGGTTACCTGTGTCAAATAAAACTAACTCCTCTACCATGCCATGGCTCTTCAAATACCTGAAAGCCGAAATCTCCCTAGGCTCTTCTCGGAAACTTCTTTTTTTGCAGGCTACTATATTTATTTTGAAGGGCAACTATATCTATCTATTTGCAGGGTAATGTATCTATTATAGTCAGTGCTTTCTTAAAATTTAATTTTTATATCTTTAAAGGACTGGTGGTCATTTCAACATGCTTTCCAACATTTAGGAGTACACAGAAACTTCAGAAAGTAGAAATGAAAGGGAAAGTACCCATCAGAAATACATGTCCATAATTAGTACTGTTAGGTGACGTTTGACACAGCTCAAATTTTATATAGCATTGTGCTAGACAATGTCTTACGTTAGAAGCTTTTCTCTTGCACACATCTATTTGATGTAAGAGGAGTTCAATGCAAAGAGCTATATATATATTTCTGAATGTCACCATTTGATCTTGCTACACATTATGCTTAGTCTAAGTAGGTTGTCTATAAAATTTTGTTTCTAGTAATTAAGCAGAATAATCAAATATAACATACTAAATAGCTTTTAAAAGATAAGGACCTCTAGCTTCCAATTTAGTAATTGTTGGAAAATTACAGCTATGGATAAGGATTTTTATCATTTACTTTTATTACTAAACAGAAAATCCAAAGGTATTTTGAAAAATATTTTAATACATGTTTGCATACACATTCCCTCAATCATTTGTTTTCCTTGTCATACATTTCTTGAGAGTTCAAAATTCAAATACCAATGAATATTTATTGAAAATCAAGTGTGTCAAGAGATGATGGTGTGAAGTCAAACAAAAATATCTACGTAATCTTCAAAAAGTCACAACTAATTGGTGAGTATAAGGATATGTGGAATTAAATTACAACACAGGAGTTAAAATTACAATAAATCTAAAATGACTAGAAGTGTGGTTAGAGAAAAATGAGAATTCCAGATGAAGACAATATACTAAAGGAACCAGAAGAAGCTGGAAATTACATTAATGGTGAGCAAATTTTTAAGAAGCTTAAAATCAATGGAGGATTATCATTAGAAAATTAAAAAAAAAAAGCTGGAAACGCCTGTATAATTATGGCAATAAACAAACCGACAACCATGAACAGCAGTGGAAAATGAGGTTATAAGTGATGATGAAGAAAGATTATGCATATCTAAGTACTGGAGGAAGAAATCCAAATCTTATTCTTCAGACAATAGAGACTCACAAAAGTTCTAAGCAGGAAAATGATTCACACACACGAAGAGGAAAGTAGAGAAATTTGTGCTGTATATTTTCAGTGAACTAGGGCTATATATTATCAGCATAGATAAATCTTACAAACATAAAGATCAAAAAAAGCAAGTCACAGAAGACTACATATAATATGACCCCTTTCATATAAACTAAAAGTTGCAAAGTAATGCTATGTATTACTTCAACACACACACATATAAACTGTGAAAGGTGCTTGTGAATGATACGAATCAAATTCAAGACAGAAGTTACTTTGGTTGGGGCTGGGGACCAATAAAAGAGAACACAAGGAATATTTAACTATGTAGGTGGTGTTTTGTTTGTTTGTTTGTTTAGGCTGGGTGATGGTATACAAGTGTTTACTCTTCTATGCTTTATACCTTTTCAGTAATGATGGAAATGGAGTTCAGAAGGGGAGAAAGGAAGGCTGAAAGTTGCCTGAGTATCTGGAATACTATTAAAATAATAAGAGCTAAGAGCTCAAGATGATAAGAGTTTAAAGGAGTAGTGATGAGCTTGACATGAAAAGAATGGTTGTACAACTTATTTAGGAAAAATAAATAGAAGACTGGCATCTGATAATGTGTGAAGGGTTTAGAAATGAAAACCATTCTCAGGACAGCAAAGTGTACACATCTCTTCCCTACTCCTTGCTTGGTGACGTACTATTGGTAGCCTGAAATCAGCAATTGTAGGAGTATTTACACCACAAAAATCTGAGAAAGCTACAAATCCAGGCTCTTTTCTTGTTTTTGATTTAATATCAGCTTACTAGCACATTACTGTTTACAACCCATTTAATTAGAATTGAAGAGACAAAAGAAAATTCGTAGGTAAGCCACGAAGAACACACCTGTTCCTCACCTCTTAACATTTCTAGCCTAGATTGAAGCCTACAAACGTCTTTGGACTACTATCTTAACTGACGTCAATTGTTTTCATAAATGAGAAACTATTTTGTGAAAATACTTTATAATACAGAGCCACTGAGAAAATCTACTTCCGATTTTCTTTTTGAAGTCTTTGGTGAGGTTGCGCGCACTAAGTTATTCAGTATCATATTCCTAAGAAGACAACAACACAGCAGGAAAGGGAAAGCGAGTTATTTTCCAAGAGAGGTGGCTCACCCAGTGTCTCCCATTATGCATCCAGACCACGTGTCCTCACATTTACACTCACCTAAGAGAAAATGAATACACATGCCTTGTTATAAAATGAAAAAAGGTGCGTTAGAGTAGCCTGTTTTTAAACAGTATATTTTCACTTTATTCCTTAAATACCTTTTAAAAAGTAATACCTGTTTTCTAATTTTCCTCATATTTGAAGTTTTCTATGCAAGTATAACAACAAAAATCTACTCTGATCATGTCAAGATTATATAATTTTTATAACAATAAAATCTTGATATTTGCTTCAAAATGGCTTAAAAATTCCAGGGGCCCCTGGGTGGCTCAGCTGGTTAAGGGTCTAACTTTGATTCAGGTCATGATCTTACAGCTCATGAGTTCAAGTCCCACTTTGGCTCCGTGCCGACAGCTCAGAGCCTGGAGCCTGCTTCAGATTCTGTGTCTCCCTCTCTCTCTGCCCCTCCCCTGCCTGCTCTATCTCAAAAAGTAAGTCTTTTTTAAAAAAATTTTAAGAAAATGGTTTAACCATCCCATACCAATGAAACAGCATCACTATGGGATTCTGGTTTCACAGTTCCTTATGGGAATTCCTACACTTTCTTGTCCAGTTTTAAAACCTCTGCACCAAAGCTGCTGGCAGAAGGTAGTATAGCATACTAGTTAAGCAGAAAGGCTTAAAACACCTGGGTTCAAAACCTGGGCTTGCCACTTAATTTATGTGTCATCTTGAAGACATTACCCTTTTGACATCCAGTCACGTTATTCTGTAAAATGGGGCTGATAATTGGTATGGTGCAGCATTATCTTGAGGATTAAACTAGTATCTAGATGTAGATAATAGTGGCATTCGGTTATGTCTTATAAAGGATACTTCATAAATGGTAATAGTTATTATTAACAGAAACAGTCTCATTTATATTTATTATTAATACAATAAATAAGGTTCTAATTAATTCACTCCAAATACATAATATTTGACCATTCCTGATAAATTAACTTTACCTACTTGAAAAAACATATTCTTCCCTGATAGTAATCCTAGCGTATTTTACTAGATCCATATTTTACTAAGCCCTTTACGAGGTCTGATCCTGGCAGACAAGTTCTACATCTGTGGCCATACTAAGAGACGTTTTAAATAAACCATAATAGAAGTATGCCTTAAACCTATATGCCTAAGATTCTCTACTAGACCATTTGAAATTAGCAAACTGAGCTCAATTTTTAGGTTAAATTCAACAATAAATTTATCATCACACAGCTTTAAACATTTATTACACATGGAAAAATTTTCACCTGCCATATAAATATTACCTTGTATTACTTTTGACAAAAATGTTGTATGCCCTGGCTGTTTACCTTATACTGTTACCCAAACTCTTTTGATCAAACAACTGAATTTAAAATCTCATTCTCTAAAATATTTATAGATAGTCTATTTTAAATACAACTAAACCACAAGGGTGAACTTACCACTTGCTAACTTTCTTTTGTCTGAGATAATACCAATATTATGAGCTAATGACTGGGCAAGTGTAACTGCCATTAAATCAGTTTTCCCAAACTGAAAAACAAAAACAAAATACATGTAAATACAAATTATTTTTTATTTAAGATGGGCCAGAGAAAGATGTCATAATATAATTGGAAATATGTAAGTTCTAAGCATCTTATTTAGCAGAGGTTAAACCAGTAGCTAAAGCTGAACTATGGAGCATTTGGGAAAAAGCTGTTAAGAAATAAATCCACATTTGATAAAGTCTTATAGGGAAGCCTAGAAGCCAGAGAATCACCAACTTTTGGGTTTCGAAACTTAAGTCTAATTGTGAGTCCAAATTTTACCAGTGACATTTCTGAAAAACTTAATACATGTATATACTTAAATCAGTCTTTTAGGTAATAATAAAAATAAAGGTGTAAATTATTTGGAACTTGTTTATCTTTGTGTATCCATCCAGTTCACTCCTGAAATTTCCCCAAATTAAACAGAGTGTGACTTCAGAAAACAAATGGTATGGGTAAAAGGAAGTGGTAATGATCTGTGGGCAAAAGAAACTTGAGAAGACCAATAAAAGATATTTTTTTCATTATGTCGATTTAATATTTTTCTTGTAGATCACTTCCATCAGACTTAGTGCCCTAAGGGTATATCCAAAAGACAGTTTTCTTTGGAAAACTTAATCTATTTTTTTTTCTCTAAAAATTTACCAAATATTGAAGAAGGAAGAAAATTTCCAACTGGGTTGTTAGGTAGGAAGCCAATGCTTCAGAGAATTACTCAATTCTCCAGAAAATCAGCCAATGTAATAAACAGGGTTTTATTTTCAATAAAGGTAAAAGTAAAACATTTTCTCTATATAATCTGTAAATAGCTAAATTTGCAGATTATTCTAAGGAGAACATGAACAGAATTATCAAATATGATTTTCCATTATTTTCCTATTCTTTGTCCTCTGATCATTTTGGTTGTTAATAAAACAACCTAACATCTAGAGAATGTGGAATATGAGAAATGATCTCTTAAATATTAGGAAAACATTTTCAGCCATCATACCACTTTGTATTGTACAGATGTTCACACCTACTTCATTCACGCCTCCTCCTTTCAGCAACGAGCAAATCCCACCAATATAAGCTGCCCCGCTCCGGCTACTCTCAAATTGACTTCCCCTTTTAGAAAAGGAAATGGAAAATGCTTACTCTTCGCAGTTCAAATATCATTGCAACTCTCATTATTAATTTACCACACTTATTTTCTCAACGAAATACATTTCTATACTACATATTCCTGAGTAAGTGAGGAATGTGAATACGGTTTACACACATAGCCAAAGAAAAACGTCTCAGGGATGTTTCCCCACATGAGCAATAATATCTTAAACAGGACCATACTTATTTTAAAAACTTACTAATATGAGGTATTCTGAGGATACAAAAATCACTTCTGTGTTTATTTCTGGACAAATACATAACTTGAATCTCTTAATGAGAAAACATCAGACATTCCCACAAGGAGGAACATTCTATAAAATAACTGACCTACACTCTTCAAAAATGTTAAGCCCAAAATACACAAAGAAAGGCTGAGGAGATCTTCCAAATTAAAGGAGACTAAAAAGATAGGACAATTAGATGCAATGCATGACCCCGGGTTGGGTCTGAATGGAGGGGAGGGAATTAGCTATCAAAGACATTATTCAGATAACTGGAGAAATCTGAATATAGACTATGGGTTACTTAAAAGTCTTGTGTCCCCATTAAATTTTCTAGTTTTAGTAATTTACTCTGGTGATATAAGAGAATGTCTTTATTTTTAGGGAATATATATGTATTTAGTAGTGAAGGCCCAGTATGTGAGTATCTCCAACTTCCTCTCAAATGGTTCCAGGAAAAAAAAAATTGATAGATAAAAAAATAAATGAAGGGGCGCCTGGGTGGCTCAGTCAGTTAAGCATCCGACTTCGGCTCAGGTCACAATCTCACTGTCCGTGAGTTCGAGCCCTGCGTTGGGCTCTGTACTGACTGCTCAGAGCCTGGAGCCTGTTTCAGATTCTGTGTCTCCCTCTCTCTCTGACCCTCCCTGGTTCATGCTCTGTCTCTCTCTGTCTCAAAAATAAATAAACGTTAAAAAAAATTTAAAAAAAAGAAAAATAAATTAAAGCGAAAAAAAGAAGGAAGGGAGGGAAAAAGGCATAGAAGGACAGAAGGAATAAAATCATACACAAATGGGGCCAAATGTAAATAATTGATGAATCTGGGTAAAGAACATAAGATATTTCCTTGTAGTATCCTTATAACTTTTCTGTAAATTTGAAATTGTATAAAACTTAAAAGTTATCTCAAAATACACTCTTTGACTTCCATTTAAACTTCCTTCAATAGTTCTTTAGATAACAGGTTTTTTATATGCTATAATATATAATTTGCTATTATATCACATATGCATTTTACCCCAAAAAAACTGAAATAGTGAGAAGAAATTAAAAATAAACTCCAGAAATACTAACGTCTCCCCTTGGAACCAAAACAAAGGTAACATTAACATTTAAAAGAAAGAAACTTAAAAGAATATAATTAATCTGTTAAGAATATTCTTTATAATATTACCAGTACTGTTACTCAATACTCTGATTAAAATATCTTAAAAATTAAATATAAATATATATTCAGTAATAAAATAATTCAAAATTAAACTTCTTACACTTTCATGATAATTTCAAACAACCTATACTTTAATACTTCTTCCAAATGTATCTGCCATGTCAAATTCTAACTGCACTATACAGCAGAAAGGATGTATCTCAGTCACAAGTAATAGAACATTCAACGTGGAACCAAAAAAAGTAATAAATCATAAGTTACGTACGAAAAAAGGTGAACTGCATCACTTTTCTCTTTGATAAAATCCCTCCTGTATTTCATAAACTCACGTAGGGTGATCAATGGATTTTCAGATATGGCAAACTTGTTGTCAGCTGCCCAGGTTTCCATGGCAACCAATACTATCCTTGTCTTCAGTTGGTCTTTATAGATCTAGTATATTAACAAAATGAACACACCAGCTATATACATGCAGTAAAATCAAATGATTTATGAACAGGACTATAAATCTTTTATTAAAACCCTTGCATTTTGGTTAAATGTAAAAAACTCTAGTGTCTTTGAGGGAGATAATTATTTTTCTAATTCCTATGCATTTTCCTTGAGTAACAGAGAATCAAATTGTTTACCAACTAATTTCCAAACAACAGAACACTAGTTAGAAACAAAAGATCACTTTTTGACAAATATTTGCACCCTTATTCAAGGCTCCCCCTGAGTCTATTTTCTGGCACCCTGGAAAAAGAATTTATGCATTCTTGGGTTTTCCAAGCAAAGAAAGGAACAACAAAAACACCCCAAGGATATAATTTCTATGCAACCTAACTGGCCCCAATTAAACTCACACTGCCTTGTCAAGAAAAGATTCAGAAAGTGAACACAGTAGGATTAGTTAGTGCATTATTCCCAGAGACCTAGGCACTCTCTTGAAAATAGCATAACTGCTGTACTGTTTCTCTGTATCTTTGTTAAGGGCTAGGGCTCAACTTTTTATTTTTCAATGTGAAAAATATAAGAAGAATTTCAAGCATAAATCCATGGGTAACTCTGACCACAGCCTTTTATCCTCTTCCCAGCCAGGGATCAAAATCAAGGAAGTCCACTGCAAGGTTACTAGGGACATAGAGGACACCTTGCCTGAAGGGCAATTCAGAGCACCGAAAATATATGAACCATATTATCCATTCTATTAGCAATCAGGAGAAGAAATTCCTCTATGGCAATACTAAGTAGAGTTGATACTTACCAAATCCGCCATGTTCACCACCGATTTTGCATATGTATTGGTATGTACAACTGAAAGCCGATGTTTTTTAAACTGAAAACAAAACAAACAAGTGAAGGGTTTCCAAGGTCATCAGCAAGTAATCACCTCAGCAGACCAAAACATAAAGTAACTGAAATATCTCTACAGCTTTTTGTAAAAAAAAAATATATAAGAATTGAGAATTAGTTCTTTGTATGTTGTAGAGTCTAGGAAAGGCTCTTAAAGTTTGAGGCCTCAGTTGATTCAACTGTGAGATAAAATAAAAAAAATACCTATTCCATCCATTTCACAAGTTTATTTTTATCACAGAATTGTTACTCAAAATGATAAAACATGAAAGCTGTCTATGAACTGCAGGAGATGCAAATATAAGTAGGGTGGCCAGCCAGAAAAATGTACGTGAATACTGCTGTAAGAAGAAAGTCCTAACGGGTCACAAAGAGGTAACTTAAAGGCTAGATGTGGATGCCATAAACCTTTTGTTTGGTAGTGTTTTAGAAACCAAGAATTATGTAAACCTGATTTCTGGCTTCCCTTAAAATTAGCATTCTCCCCATGGTGATAACTAGCAAGGCTAAGAGGCAGTTACTTCCATTAGACAGGCCATGTAACTTTGCTTTTGCCGTAGGCCTCAATCTCCTCCCCCATTGTTTTACTCCCAGCTTATTTCACTTGTGTTACCTGCCTATAGACATCTGAATCTGTGCTGTCCTAAAACATCCAAATATACGTTTTTATAACTTAATCTGATCTTGTAAAAACCTCAGGAAATAGTAACATTCACTGATTTCAAAGAGGTAGAAAGATAAAACTTAGTTCTAGCCTGAACAAAGAAGCACCCAATCTGGATATTATTATCATTATCATTATTATTATCATTATTAGCAACAATACATGATCAATATGTTTGTTTACTTAATCATATACAAACAAATGAGACACTTTCCTTCAAATAAATCAAAGCAAATTAAAATGCACTTGTACTTGAAATTAAGTAAAAATCAGCTATGTTCATCACTGAACATGTTTAGTTTAAAACAGTGGTTACATAGAACAATTAGCATTATAATTCACTGCTGTGCTGTAAATGTAAGCTAGTGACTCCAACAAGTCCATGAGTTGAATATACACACACTCTGGGTCAAAATAAATGACTCAGCAAGAAGGAGGTTTTGCCAGGTTCCTATCCTAAAATCTTCACTGCTTGCCTATATAAGCATTTCCACATGGTTTGCTACAGAGCAAGCCAGAAATTGAAAAGCTGCTTTTCTTTTATTAGGATAAAGCTGTACATTTCAAACTAAAGTGTCACATTACTGGTGCCTCACTAATTTTTTTTCAATATAAAAATATTAATTAAGCAAATCCAAAGAGGGGACTAATTGTAAGTCACATAAATATTTTTGGAACCTCACAAAATACTGCTAGTTACATCCACCTAAGAATGTTTCTAATTTACAGGTTGTTACTGGCTAACAAATACTTCAGCCACTTAAATGTCTTCTCCAAGTTACAATTTTCTGGGTTTCATGTTTCTTCTAAACCTATTTTTGCACCAGCCGGCTTTACCCACAGGGACAGACAAGTTCAAACAACAAACATTTCAGCAAATCCTACCATGAGATGATCGTTGACAATCATCAGTTCAATATATTTGGTCTCCTCCTCTACATTACGAGGATGTCGACGAAGCTGCAATATAGTAAAGGAAATAGCACCTAAATAAGCCCTCTGAACTTAGCTGTAACTAAAAAATATGTTACACGTTATGTCACACATTTTACTGTGCCTTTTTTTCCAAACTCTCCTTATTTCCCCCACTCCTAGCCTCTGACAACCACTTTTCTACTCTTTTTTGTGAGTTTGACCTTTTTTTTTTTTGATTCCACATAGAAGTGGTACCATACAGTATCTTTCTTTGAATTATTTCATTTAGCATAATGTCCTCCACGTTCATCCATGTTGTCACAAATGACAGGATTTTCTTCTTTTTTAAGGCTGAATGATACTCCACTGTATATATTTACCACATTTTATTTTTTTTATTTTTTTTTAACGTTTATTTGTTATTGAGAGACAGAGAGACACAGAGCATGAGCAGGGGAGGGGCCAAGAGATGGAGAGACACAGAATCTGAAGCAGGCTACAGGCTCTGAGCTGTTAGCACAGAGCCCCACACAGGGCTCAAACTCACAAACTGCGAGATCATGACCTGAGCCAAAGTCCAACGCTCAACAAACTGGGCCACCCAAGCACCCCCCACGTTTTCTTGATCCATTCATTTGTTGATGGACACTTACACTGATAAGACTGTATTGTTTAACTGAAATATATACACACACATACACATATTATATATATATCAAATCATCCCATTGTACAGTTGTACATCCCATTGTACATCCCATTATACACACACAATCAGTGTGTGTGTGTGTGTATACACATTATATATATATATATATATATATATATATATCAAATCATCCCATTGTACACTTCAAGTATCTCATAATTTTATTTGTGAATTATGCTTCAATAAGGCTGAAAAAATGTTTTTAATTTTAAAAAACAAAAATGTATGAGAGAAATAAAATTTCCACTTTCATTCCTTCAGAATCCTTCTTTCCATTTTCATCAATTTTAACCTAGTTTTTGAATAGGTAATACATTTATATGGTTTAAAGAATTATCAAAAGGTTCAGGGTCAAAATCTTCCTCTCACTTCTGTTCCCTATCCACCTAGTTGTTAACCGTTCCCCCACCATTGGTATAGCACAGTTATTTGTTTCTTCCAGAAATATTTATGCATATAAAATCAAATATAACATTTATTTTACTTGGTACTTCCACTTATTTCACTAGCTTTTGCATGAGGGTATTTTCACTTACCAGTATATCTTGGAGATTATAACATATGAAGGGCATGCTTTCTGTTTAAGCTCCTGCGGATCTCTGAGAGGATACAGGGAGTACCTGATGGACACTTTTATTCTACAATCTCCAAATCTGGGACTGAGAATGTCCCTCCTTCTTCTGGTACATTTTAAGGGATCTCCCAAATGATATAAGAGCTTTTGTTAGGATAGTTTTGAGAGCTTCCAGGAAGTCTTGGATTATCTAGTACAGCTCTATTATATGTCTGTTTAACAATGAATTTTCTCCATCTTCAAAATCATGATTAGTGGATGCCACAAGTAGGAGACACAAAGGCAGCCATATGCCTTTGTTCCTGCAGTCAGTCTATAACACAGTCTTTAACAAGATCTATAAAATTAAGTCTTAATTTTTTTTTAATGTTTATTTTTGAGAGAGAGAGACAGAACACAAGAGGGGAGGGGCCAAGAGAGAGGGACACACAGAATCTGAAGCAGGCTCCAGACTCTGAGCTGTCAGCACACAGCCCGACACAGGGCTCGAACTAATAGACTGCGAGATCATGACCTGAGCCAAAGTTGGATGCCCAACCGACTGAGCCACCCAGGTGCCTCAATTTTTTCCATTATGCTATCTTTGGTATCCATTTTTTCAGTAAATCTTTTTATTCACTTGTCCAATGGCTATTTTTGTGATGAGAGTATATAACCAAAACTAATCAATGCATGAATATTTGCTTTCAGAGCTGCATTTAAAATAAACTAAAAAAATTGCTGCCATGTGGATTTTGTTCCAGTGTTAATTGCATTCCCAAATTTTAACACTTATTTTAAAATTCAAATCCCTTATTACACCAAGTTGATAGAATTCTCAGTTTGGAAACCAAGTAGTAGTATAAACTGCATCCAATGGCCTGAGGCTTTTTAAAAGTGGATGTTTTAGGATGACAGTATCTGCTTTGTAATTGTGGAAGAGACCTGAGTCTTACCAGTTATCACAGCAGACTGTCTAACAAGACTCAACATTTTCTCAATGTCAGAGACTTGCCATATTGGCCACACAGCATTCTAGCACCTCACCTCTGTGGGTTCACAGCTGTCTCAGAAAAAGAAACCTAATGTCTGTCTGCCTTCAAATGACTGGATGTCACAGATGTTTATGAAGAACTTCAAGGAATGCGTCAAAAGAAAACTATCCTGTTCTCTGATCTCATAAGTCATGAAAATAAATATTATTTCAAATTAAATCCTGTTGGCATCTTTATTTAACTGGGCCTCAATATGTATGTATATTCACAAAATATATAAAGCTGATGTAGCAATTCACAGAACACAGGGCTTCTGAGAGGCAGTATATAAAGTATATATGGTTATAAAAATACCAGACTTCCAAGGTCAGAATCTGAACTCCACCACTGGATAACTCACTATAACCCTGGGCAAGTTTCTTAAGCTTCTCATGCTTCAATGTCCTTATCAGTAAAATGGGGATAATAATAATACATTCCTTATAAGACTGTTAGGAGAATCAAATGTATTAATATAATTTAAATTCTTAGAATAGGACCAGGCACAAGTAACCTGTGCCTCAATAAAAATAAGCAATTTTATTCACATTAGATATGTGTCTGTAAACTCATATTATGTCATACTTATAAACATATTTAAACAGAAGATGATTGGTTTCTTCAACTGTGTGATCTTACTAGAGATATATTTCCATCATCCTATGTTTTTTATGCCAAACACCCATACATAATGTATGATATTTTAATTCTAATAACCAGAGTTCTGTTCTTTCTTTTCCTCTCCTTTTCTGAGTATACTAGACATATAATGTTACATTAGTTTCAGTATACAACATAGTGATTCAACTTCTAAGTTATGCTGTGCTCATCACAAGTGTAGCTTGTCATCTGCGACCATACAGGTTATTGCAATATCAGTGACTATATTCTCTGTGCTGCCCTTTACCCCTGTGACTTGCTCATTCCATAACTGGAAGCCTGTGTCTCTCACTCTCCTTCTTCCATTTTGCCCATGACTCCACCCACTTCCCTCTAGCAACCACCAGTTTGTTTTCTATATTTACTGGTTTGATTCTGCTTTTTGTTTGTTTATTCATTTATTTTTTAGATTCCACAAAGTGAGTGAAATCGTACGGTATTGTGATGAGCAGAGTTCTTATTATGCCTAAAGCATTCGCCAGTTCTATGATTCTGGTCATTTTCACATTCGAAGACATCATTTTTTTTCCTGTGTAAGGGGATTGATAGCACCTACTTCATATGGTGCAAAGCATTATACAAATTGTCATTATTTTTTCCAAGTCCAAGATGCACTGAACATTCATAAAGTTGACATCCTGAGTTTATATCCCAGACTCCAACATAGTTTAAGTGTGGCAACAGCATTTTGTGCCTTTAAAACCTGATGGATTCTCTTTTAAGGGGGTATCTTTACAAGTAGACCTCATGATGTGGTACAACCCAGGCCAAGGAAAGAGGCCTATGTTATAAAGAACCCGAGATGCCACAGCAGGGGCCATAATCCATCTGTAAGATGAATAACCATATTATCACCACTATCTTGAGTCCTTTTTGAGTCTATGAAACAATATGGCCCCATCTCCACTGCTCCTACAGATCCGTCACCCTTACTGTTAACCATGACAAATGCCTGAACTAATACTTAGCCATCTTGCAGAGACTTAATGTAGATTTAGATGACTGGTAGTTGCCAAGTGTTTTTGAAACATCATGGAATATCCTGTGAATACATACCTGCCGTTTACTTCTTTTTGGTGCTGGCTTCAAAATAAATTTTGGTGGAGTGATGTGTACTTGCTGAAATTCTAAAAGGAAATAAAAATAAATTAATGTAACTTGTATTTACCAGTTTTCTTTCATACAGAGGAATCAAAGTTTTACTATCCCTTCATAGAATAAATTGTATAATTATACTTTATTAACTATTAGTAACAGTTACTATAACTGTTGGTAATTAATGTAAGTTATAATTGGAAAATTAGATAATTACAATTATGTGGTTATTATAAATTTTATAATATATAATGTTACACTTAAAGATAATATAGAACATTAATCAAAATAATTGTGCTCCTATTAATACTAAATACATATATCATGAATGAATATAATTAAAGCAATCTTGGGCACTATTCCTATTTTAATTTATCTCAAAATTTTTCTCATATTTCTGCAATAAATACTATCACATCCTTTATCAAGAATCTTCTAAATAGCCAACTTGACTTCCCACTACTGACCTTCATTAAAGAATGACACAGCAAACGCTGATGAAGATGTGAACAATCAGAACTCTCATATAGTGCTGATGAGTGTAAAATGGTATAAGCACTTAAGAGAAAGGCTCAGTAATTTCTCACACAACAATAGTTCTCAAAGTGAAATCCATGAACTAATGGCATCAGCATATTCCCAGCATACTTGGGAACTTGCTGGAAATGCAAACTCTCATAACCCACCCAAGACGTACTTGAATCAAAAACTGTAGCAACTGGTGCAGCCACTATGGAAGACAGTATGAGGTTCCTCAAAAATTAAAAATAGAACAATGCTAGGACCCTGCAATCCCATTTCTGGGCATACAGCCAAAGGAATTGAAATCAGCATCTCAAAGAGATACGTGCACCACCATGTTCACTGCAGCATTATTCACCATAGCCAAGACATAGAAACAACCTAAATGTTAAAGGAAATGTGGTATACACATGCAATGAAGTGTTACTCGGCCTAAAAACAAAAGAGGAAGGAAGGAAGGAAGGAAGGAAGGAAGGAAGGAAGGAAGGAAGGAAGGAAGGAAGGA